CGCCCGCTACGCCCACAGCGCTTGCAAACGGTATTCTAAAACTCTCTATTATCCCGCGCCGTATTGCGGTCCACCTCAATCGCTTGCAGTGTTTGCCGATGCCCGCGGTGCAGCGTTGCGGCGCTCTTACTAAGGAGTTTTAGAAAATCGTTTGCAAGCGCCGCGGGCGTTGCGGGCACCACATGAGCTTTAGAATAGCGTTTGCCTTACTGCACCGCAACGCACGATCGCTGCGACACCGTAGCCTCGAAACCAGTGCTTGCGGGCCGCGATCGCCGCAAGCAATTTTGTATTTTCTGCGTGCGGTCCGCGAACGCCAACTCGCGTTACAACGCATGCGCAGTGGCAGCGACCGCACCGCAAGGGCTCGCGGTGCGCTATTTTAAAACCCCCTATTAAACCCGCTATCGCGTGGCTCGCATCGCTGCTTATCAGGCAGCGCTCCGCTGTGTGCGTGCCTCTGAGCGGGGCGGTGGCCGCGCGAAGTGCGCTTGCCTTTGTGTTCGGTAATTGCCGCAAGTCGGATGTTGCGCAACTCGCGACACGCTCACATATCGATCTAAGAAAAGAAAAAAAAAGAAAAGAGGGCAATCGAGGCGGCCTACATCAAAAGAACCATTTATCGCTTTATCACTTCCTTTACAGCACGTGGCGCAGGTTTGGCGCCAACGGGGCCGAATAGAGGTAGGGCTGCGGCGCTCCTTCCCGCTCCCCGAATTTTCGAGAAGGGGGGGGGGGCAGCAGCCCTTTCGACAAGTTGACTTGTCTTTCTCAAGGCTTAATGGCGGCTGGACACAACCCCTGTTTACGGATTTCTTCATGCAAGCTGCCATCTTCCTCTTCCTGCCAATAATAATTTATGAAGTTTAATGGACGTGCGTAGCAGAGGGTCCCGGAAATTTCGACCGCCTGCGATTCTTAAGGTGTGCCTGAATGTACATACTGCGGGCCTCGAGCATTAAATTGTCGCCCCCATCGGGAATGCGGGCGCCGCGGCCGGGATTCGATCCCCTGACCTGCGGGCCAGCAGTCGAGCACTATTAGACCGCCGCGGTGGGTTACTCTAAAACTCCCTACAGACATTAGGGAGATTTAGAATAGCGCACCGCGAGCGCTTGCGGTGCGGTCGCTGCCACTGCGCATGCGTCATAACACGAGTTGGAGTTCGCGGACCGCATGCAAAAAATTCGAAATTGCGCGCGGTAATGGCGGCCCGCATGTGACCCGCAAGCGCTGGTTTCGAGGCTACGGTGCCGCTGCAATCGTGCGTTGTGGATCGCACCAGGGCAAACGCTATCCTAAAACTCATATGGCGCCCGCAGCGCTTGCAAACGGTATTCTAAAACTCCCTATTCAGCCTGAACACGCTTGCATCACCTGCAGCGCATTAGCAAAGATAAAATTATCTTATACGAACCCCAATAGAAGCGGGGCAACTTTCTCTAGGAAGGCCCGAGAAATGCAGAAATTTGACAAATCTTCTCATTCTTGGAAATATTCCGGATGAAAACAATAGGAATCACTCAATTACGAAGGGAAGTTGAAGAAAAGAGCTTATTTTGTACAGTGGAAATATGGGCAACTGTGAAGGAAAACTGATATTCCTTTTTTAACGTTTGTCGCCAGGGTTGTATTCGGTTGAAGGCACATTTATTTGACAGTGCATAATAAACGTTACTTGTTTTTCACCTCAGAGTGTGTTTGATTGCCACACCCAATTACATTTAGTTAAATACAAATGCACTTTTAATGAACGGGATGATTGCTAATATAACGGTATATTTGATGGGAATATGCAAATATGCAAAAACAAATGAACGCAAGTGACTAAAACATTCTAGAAGCGACTCGGCGAAGTGAGACACCCAAATCCACTTACTATAAATGGAACCGGCAACTCCGATCATTAACAGCGCTTACCACTCTTGTACCACGCTCCTATCTTACCGTTACCGCCTTGCACTCTGGCATAGATAGATTTTTGCCTATTGTACCATGATTGTACTGCTGGCCAGATAACACGCGGAGTGATGTTTGCATGGCTCCGCGTCTTTCGATTGTCCGTGAAATTAAACGGAAGCGGCGGGTGTTGTAGGTATTGATTAAGCGGTAGATAAGACATTCAATACTGTTCCCGTCGCAGTAGTGTAGCTCATATATATATATATCGGGCTGCTCGAATGCCGACCCGAAGGTGGCGGGTTCGATCCTGACCGCAGTAGTCGCATTTCTTTCGATGGAGGCGAAATGGTAGAGAGGTCCGTGTACTGTGCGGTGTGAGTGCACATTAAGGAACGCAAACATGGCCGAAATTTTTGGCATCCTCCACTGTGGCGTCCGTCATAATCATATCGTGGTTTTGGGACGCGATACCGGCATATATTATTAATATCACTGTTCTCGTTAGTTCTGACTAATATTGTAACAGAAAAAAAAGGCTTACATATACACTGCTTTCCTCCTTGTTTTTGTATTTCTATGACTTTCGCGCATTTTATCTGGTCAAGCCAAGCGCACCTTGAAAGGGGGCCGCAAAGTAGTGCCTGAGACCCCACCATGGAGGGGGGGGGGGAAAGAGTGGGACTGGTGTAGTGGTTAGAAAATTGCTTGACCTTTTTCTAACCCGTGGAAATTGCCGCCTAAGCCACCTTCGACGCAGTACACCGGTGACCCGCGTAAAAGTGTGTTTTGATTTGGAAGAGGCTGTTAGCGCTATTCACGTGACACAGCATATTTTTTTTTTTTTTCAATGATTCATGTGTGTATCCGCCACATAATCTTGATTACAAATATGATCGCTTGCTTCTAAAAAAAGTTACTGGCAATCATTTGGAGCAGTGAATAATTTCTGTGGCCCTAAAAAAAGGAAAAAAAAAGGAATCTTGTACACCAGCTTCTTTTCCGCCACCCCTAATCCCCGTTTTTACGAATCTCCCGAATTTCAAGGCCTCCAGTTTAGCAGTACCACATTCGAATTCGAAGTCTGTTGAAGGATTTGACAGGCGCGACAAATGCTAATGTGGACTTCATTGTTTGCTTAGTGCCCGGGTAATTCAGAATACTACTATTATTGAAACCGCAGTGCTCATGTTGACTCCGCATGATTTAGGTGGGTTGAATGTTTTATACATGTATTTTTTTCCTAATATATGCTTTTGTTTTTAAACTGCTTCAAATTTCATCTTTCATGAAGAAATTCTTTTTTTTTCTCATAATCTGTTCCTAATTGGGGTATTAGTGTTTAAAAGTAACATTTTGTGCTCCAAAAATTCTCCAAGTTGCTCCGACCCCTGTGTAGGCCATTGTTGGAACTCCGGGTCCTGCCAGTCTCGTTTTCGGTAGCTGGCCCCGTCGCAGGATCCATCGTCCGACAATTCAGCGAGAAGAAGCGCCCGAACGAACAACAGAGATTTATTTACATGTGGAGAAGTGATCAACTGATCCAAAGAGAGAAGAGTGAGAGTGATACAAAACGTCTTCGGCATTTTATAGCGCCGCGTTGTTGACACTGGGCGCCTTGTCCGCATCGTCAGCCAATACGGTGTCCCCGGCACCTCGGCCACGAGGGAGGGGGAAACACCTCTCGCAACACATGGAGTGGCACAACCTAACACGATGTCCATATATGGTCACGGCGCCCTAAAATGTTGCCAAACATGGTCACGAACGCACAGCAGATTCCGGAGTTCTCCCGGCGAGAGGAGGAACTTGAATGGGGAGGTGGGGGTGGACGACACCGTCGATCAAGAACCGGTTCTCTCCCAAACTCTTCTTGCTTGGTTCCCTAGGGCCGGTCGTAACACCATACTTAGAGGTGCGTTAAAGAACCCCAGGTGGTAGACATTTCCAGAGCCCTCCACCACGGCCTGCCCCCTATAATCATATCGTGATTTTGGTGGTGAATGCCCATTTTTCCTAGCTTATTATATTTTGTTTTTATTAGTTATAACATCCAGTAGTTGTTATAATAAATTGCATATGCAACGAGAGGCACTGGTTATATTGTGATAAAAATTAAAAGGGCATTGAGGTGCCCTGTTGGCATTGGCGGCTGTTGCCGTGTGGTTACGTATAAGTTTAGTCCATCAACTTGTATGTCCCGTGCCTTATGGCGAGTCAAAGCCTGCGAGGTTTTGCGAGGGGCTGTTAGGGCTATTCACGTGACGCAGCACATTTCAAGCAAAGCGGAACCGTGCGTGCGCGCCATCCCTGGGGTGTGCTAAAGCAGTGGTGTTAACTTAGTCGCTAAATTCAGCATCTTTTCAGCCGACAACTTCATCTCTTTTCGAGTCTTAGCAACTTTTTTATAGACTTTAAAAATTTGAGCTAGTGTTTCAAAATAGATACAGAAAATTGGGAAACTCTGAGAACTACGGAATGCTCTATGAAGAGGCTAAAGCATACAGGATAAACCTGCTTGTCGTTCTGAGATATTCAGCGTGCAATGTGACTGTAGTATCTACAGAAGTTGCAACATACGGTGCTCCAGCCAACAAGGGAATGATCAGTAGTACTCAAATTTGTCTAATCCTCGTATTTCCGGATCGGTTTGCTTTCGCGTGGCTCGAGACTCCAGTCAGCAAATTTTCAGCAGTTGCACTTCGCCATCTAAACCTTTTAGGCTCACCAATTCAAATCGGGTCACGAAGTTGACGCAGGTTCGTTCTGTTATTTGAAACAAAACCAAAAACCAAAAGACAACAATAAACGAAGCCACAAGTGCGTTTGCAGCCCGTAAGCACAAAGACTTGGAAAACTTATGTATTAACCATTATTTCCATGGTGGCTGAATGATCGCAATGCCAGAGTCCCCTCTAGTTAATTTTAGGAAACTCAATGGTTTGTTGTATGCTCCACTGTACCAGTGCAATGTTAGTATGTCTTTGTGTTGTTTGGTTACCCTTGCGCTCTGTCAATGAAAGAATACCCTCATCTGTCAATGAAAGAATGCAAGGTAAAACTGAGAGCGCAGTTGTTTGTTTTGCTGTCTGGTCCTCCAGGTCACAGTACTGTATGTTCGCAACCTGATGCTGAGCACATCGGAGGACGTGATTCGTGAAGCCTTCACCCTCGAGGGCCAGCTCACCGTGGCCAAGATCAAAAAGATTCGGGACTTTGCTTTCGTCCATTACTTGAACAGAGAAGATGCAAAGCTAGCCCTGGAAAGTATGAGAGGTAACGTCTTTTATACCATTCAAGGCACATTTCTTCGTGCCTGTGATTACTCTCGTGGATAGTTTTTTTCGCTGGTCTTGTACTCTAGCGTACATCGTGGAGTTTGCATAATAACTGGGTTACCAGGGGTTTGTAGCGACTGCTGTGTTTTTCAATGTCTCTCCTACGCCATTTTTCTTTCATGATTGCTATTGCAGAGAAATTGTGAAAAGCAACACGTATCGCAATTATACTGCTGCTTAATATTTACAGCAGCCTTGAAATAGCATGTGCAATAAACGTCGCAATAAACGTCGTGCGATTGCCTGGTTGTACACCAACAGGTGGTTGCACCAATCAGGCCACTTGTGTTTATGCCTCCAGTAACGTGGTAAAAAAGTCTTGAGAATTTTGTCAACCATGCAGTCTGTGAAGCTATTTGGACATAAGTAACTATGCGTCACAGAGCATTTGATATTACTTACAATGATTCATGGCTTAATTTGAGGCTGTACATGCAATTCTTTTGAATTTGATTTAAATCGGTAACTCTTCAGTTACGGTGACACACCTTATACTGCTTCCAAAGTGTGTAGCACTGAGTTCGCAATTTGGGCCTGTTGGTTTGCCACTAGAATGAACTAAGTTCAGCTAATGAAACATAGCCAAAAGGGAGCCTATTTGTGTCTAAGCGTGACTAATAGAGTCCAATTATTTCTCTCTTCCGCACATGTTTCTGCCACACACTGTGCATGTGCATTCTAATGTTTCTATAAGCTTGGAAAGTTGGCAAACAACTAGAAAGAGAGAACGGAACTCTTAAAAGAACCCAGGCTAATGAGCCAACGAATGTGCTTTGCAATGGGGATGAAACGGAGAACTTTCGTGCAATCTTGTAATCCTTGAGGTGACACTGGATTGATCTTCATTATATTGGATTTCTTTAAAGTGCAGCTAAACCTAGGTACACAGGCCCTCTTGCATTTTGTTTGCACCGAAGCCCGGCTGCCATTGATGTAAATGGAACCGGTTCTCTCATGCTTGGACATCCTACTTCTTAGCTGTTAAAGTTCTTCAAAGACAAAGGAAAGTAGTTTGATAGTTTGGGATTTTTTTAAAGTGCAGCTAAACCTAGGCACACAGGCCCTCTTGCATTTTGTTTGCACCGAAGCCCGGCTGCCATTGATGTAAATTGAACCGGTTCTCTCATGCTTGGACATCCTACTTCTTAGCTGTTAAAAGTTCTTCAAAGACAAAGGAAAGTAGTTTGATAGTTTGGTGTGCCTTTGTACTTCAGGTGCCGACATTGAAGGGTCTCCCATTGAGGTTGCATGGGCAAAACCAGTGAATCGAGGGAAACATCTCGACCGCAAGCCCAATTATGGAAAGAAAAACAAAGAGTTCGTTCACGGCAGCCACAGCAACTTCCGTGGAGATCCTGTGGTGATGCCATCGCCTGTGGGAGGTGTTGGCTTCGGGATCTACAGCATGGCATCCCATCCTGTCCCGCTACCAATTGGATCTGGCAGGTTCGTTTTTGCAGACTCAGCTTTTGGAGATAAAACCTGGGCTATGCACAAGTGTATGGGTGTTACCTCTTGTTGTGCATAGCTTGTAGAATGTTTTGAAAATGCTTTGGTTTAGTGCAAGATTGGTGGCTTCTTCAAGGTGTATACGTATATTGCCGATTATACGTTGTCGTTTTTTCATAAAACTGCCTTCCGAAGTTCGGGGGTTGACCTATACCCCGAATTGTAAAGTAGAGTTGGAATCATTAAGTCGGTTTTTCTGAGGAGTTCGATAAACAGTCGTCGCCCTTGGATCCATTGCTATTTGACGCATCGATAACATCATCCGCAGAGGCAATGGATTCGCAAGAGCTGCTATCTCCCAATGCATGGGCGTTGCTTCCAGAGCCAGACATTTTTATGATCTGCCGCAACGATCGCGAAACTACGGTATAGCTATGGTAGCTAGAAGAGGTGTCAGCAACGGCACGTCGGATATACAGCATTTTTTCGTGATATGTCGCGACGGCATCACGGTTTCAATAGTAGCCCCACCGCATCGGCGGGTCTGTTAGGCGATATCGACAACAGCACCGGCACTCGCCGCATATAGTGACAGAGCATTTGGCTTGCGAAGAATGGAAACATGCGGTAATCGCTCCCTAACAATGCGACATACGTTTATCTGTCGTGAAAAACACTATATGCATCTCTAGCTCGCAAAAAACGGGACATTAATTATTCGCAAAAGACATGACATGCGTTTCTCGCTTTAGTAGACGGCATGTCCTAACAGTGCTTGCTGTCAGATTTCCCGTGAAGCATCATGGATGTTGCACAAAAAAACTGGCAGCGCCGTGTGGCCTGGCAACACTTCCCAGGAAACTAAACCCCATGACCAGTCACATGCACCCCAGGGCACGCATGTGCTTACAAGTGTCTTCACGCCCTTTTGTCCTCACTCCTATTGGCCATTTCTGCATTTCGCTTTGCTTGTGAACAGTGGAGTGCGCAATTCGCGAAGCTGCTCAACGGACGCCAAGATCTGCTACGCTGGCAAAAGTACAGCGCTGCTTTCAAGCGGCAAGCAATCCTCTATGCAGTGTCGGAAAACAGCGTTGAAGCAGGGCAGAATGTGGATGTGTCAAAAAAGTGCGTGAGGGAATGGAGAAAAGAAAGGATCAAGATTTTCATGTTCACTACGACATGCCGTTCTTTTCGCGGACCGAAGTCTGGACGATACCCTGCCGTTGATGCGATTCGAGATTGGGTTCACGACCACAGAAGCGAAATCCTGAGCGTTTGATGCGATGATATTGAAGCAAAAGCACGTACTCTCGCGAAGGATGTGTGAATTTTGCTAACCGAGTTCAAAGTATCAAAAAAATAGGTTACAAACTCTATGAAATGCATTGGTCTGAGCTTAAGACTATGCGCAACTATATGTTAGTGGTTGCCCAAAGCCTGCGAAGAAAATCGGCGAGCGTCTCTTCGCTACATGAGTGACCTGAAGGCAAAGCATTCATTTCTCTTAATGATGCCTGGTATGGACTGCCAACCGACATGGTCTGCGCGGCGTTTTCCACGTGCGACGTTTCAGTGCCACCAGCACCCCTCCCGATGGCGAGAGCAGCAGTAGTGGCTCACACGATGTCGATAACCGAGACTGCTGCATTCCTCTCTCGAGCGACAACGAGTCATAAGCGATGTTTAATTTCATCACTCCTTCTTCTGAAAGACATACTGGTGTGCTATCGCCGCAGCATGAGGCCGTGGAGTCAACCTTTTTAGCCTAAAAGGGGTCGCAAGTTGGGGATCGACTTAAAAGCGGCAACATATGGTATTATACGACTTACATGTGATGCATTTTTTGATTTTGATAAAAGTGTGAAATGCCATGCGGTTAGCTGGTCTCTGTGATCACTTGTAGACTTGAATGTGCTCCTCCAAGTGTGCACATGATCATCTCTCTGTCTTATTCTATTCTAGTTTTTGCCATTTACTAGTTCCCACAGTGCAGTGTAGCAAACCAGACACACGCTCGGTTAACATGTCTACCTTTCCTCGCTTCTCTCTTTCGCACTGTACGGAAATACAAGTGGTTTATTGCTTCTATTCATGCTATTCTTTTTTTTTTGTCTACGTGTTCTTGTTTACTGTCCTTGATTTCCAGAGTGCGATCTCGTCATGTACAGAAACAGAAGCAAACATTAGTCATTACATACTAACCGGCTCCTGTGTAATACAGCTGCATTGCCATGAGCTGCTAAGCACATTCCACTTCCATGATAATTATCTCGGAAGATGTTTTGCTTCAACCAGCCACCTCTGTAAAGAGCTCTTTCAAAGGCATCGCAGGAGTACATGCACTTGTGTAATGCTCTCCCGCAGATGACATTGTGGGGCTCAGTGTGCTTCTTTCACTGCAATGGGGTTGTTCTCTTCCCTACCACCATGCACTTTCCACTTACTGTACTTGTTTTTCTTGTGGAGAAGCACGTAGACATAGTTTTAGAGGTGAGTTATCATGCTTGTGTGTAAGGAACATATGCTTTCACACAGTTTATATATGACGATAACTATTGTTTTGGGGTCCACGAAAAGATGATTTTTTGCATTTTTAGTGTGCTGTCCAATATTTGGGAAAGCTTTCCACTGACAAAACTCTTCTTTTGTGTCCAGACCTGGCCGTGCGGAGGGCCTCATGCAAGACCACAATGGCGTGGCTCCCTTGCCCCATCAAAACACTGCAAGAGAATTGCGCTGTCAACAAATAATACAGGTTTGGTCTTGATACACTAGATGTGCTGCACTTACACATTTATTACAGCGAAAGTTGTCATGTGATCACAACACGGGTCACGTGCGGCGCCGTAGTTGTCCGCCACCACCACTGCCGCTGGCGTCAGTAACGCTATGGTATTCAAACGCGAGTCCATTGCATAGCAGTACAGTATTCTACCACTGAGCCACATCGGTGCTTGGAACTCGCTTGCAAACTTGCCCTAGGCAGGCTTGGTGTTGAGAAAGAAATCGTGTTAATATGAGTAATAAAGCGTTTTAGATCAGCAAAGGAACAACTGCTCGCAAAATGCGAATGGCATTATGAGTGGGTCTTCCAATGCCCCTACCCATTACAAAAGCTTGTTCTTAATCGCGGCGCATGCTAACGTTAGGCCTAATTCTTCATCATCAGCTGCTGCATGAAAAAGTGTCACAAAATTCATTCCTTGCAAATGTGTAGCAGATACCACGCTTCTCCAAAGAATGATGAAGGATTGCCCTTGGGAATTCCGGCCTACTACACAGAAATGGAGATTAATATTTTCGGCACAGTGGGTACCAAGCAAGTGTGCTTGTAGCAGTTACCAAAGTGTTTGGAAAAGGCTCTGAAAAGCCGCTCTTCGAGCTTTTGCTGTGACTGTGCTGTGTGTTCTTCACAGGCCTGGTGTTTTTTAAAAACACAATTTCTTTTTGAGGCTTCCACATTAATTATGCAACCTTGGCAGGCACAAAAAGATTTCACAGCACTTCTGCATAGTTTTCGTTAAAATTTTGAATAGTATAAAAGGGGGAGGGGGGGGGAAGAGGGGCACAGAAACGCATAAGTATGATTTAAAAAAAATAATTTTTTATGCTCCTGTTGAAAGTAAATTCGTTTAAAACTAGTCATTCTCTCTGGTTAAAACAGACCCATTGAGTGTTTACGTAAAAGTTTGTTGTTACAGCTCTTGGATTTTACATACTCTTTATACAACAGACCAAAGTCCTCTTCACTACGAAGGTCTGTTGTAATAAGGTTATACGGCACCATAAAATGCCGAGCAAGTGCCCCCACCTAAGCAAGCACCCCCTCCCTCTTTCAGAAGATTTGAAATAAGAGCCAAATACGCGCCAATGACCGGTTCGGGTCCGAGCAAGCGCCCCGCTCCAGAATCTGGTTGGAGTATCAGTCTCCGTAGAGAGAGAGGGGGGGGGGGGAGTGCTTGTTCGGCATTTTGCAGGAAAGCATTACGTTGGGCTGAGCAGCGATGTCTGAATCCCTGATGAAATTGACGAGTACATTCAAGTTTCCGGCTCAAAACAAGTGACACAAACATGGGCCTGTATGAAAAAGTTGGCCATCTTGATCGCTCGAGAATCGCTCGATGTCGCAAAAATGAGTAGGAGCTCTTCGACGAAGCACAAATTTTTTGTGGGAGGGGACTGCGATGGCTGTGGGTGGAGCTTACATTTTTTTCTGAGGTTATTACCGGGTATGGGATAGTTATTCGATACGTTTGATGCATTACAAGCAGCAAAAGCAGCTATTCCAAGTGTGCTGTGCTAAGGTATTGCCTGCGTCTGTCTTTTAGGTTCTGAATGACGTGTGTGAAAGGCAAGGATGGGGTGTGCCTCAGTTCCAGCTCTTCACAGTGGCGAGCTCCGAATGCAGCCCTGAGAGGAACGGTGAACCGCAGATGCCGCTTTGCTTTTTCAAGGTTCGTGTGCTCTTAAGAAGTTGGTGTAGGGGTGTAGGAATTTGAAAGACTCTTGAGCCTCAAGTTAAAATTTATTATAACGCCAGTCTAGTCGCGTAACTTAGCTGGTGGCTTCTGGTAGGCTTGTGAATGTGATTACGTAACATTGTCTTCTGGAGTGCCTCTGTGATATGTCCTGTGCAATCACATTGCGTAGGTGTACATTTACGTAACAATATATCATTGCATAGGAAAAGGTCCTGAAGGAAACATGATATGGTTCACTGTTTTGTTTTGTTACTTTGCATTATTTGTAAGGCTTTGTCTAACCGCTGGGGAAAATAAAATTAGAAAAAAAGGACATCAGTAATGTTTCAAAATGTGGAAAAACGAATGTGTAAAGTTGTCTTTGGATAGTTTCCCTAAAAATATAAGGAATTCTCGAACAGGCAGATTATACTAGCATCGTTATGACCACATGACATTATGAGCATTAGCTTTTTTGTAGCTATAGTGGCAAATAATGTATGGTCGAGTTCCATAATGGGCAGTGATTACTTGAGCATCGTGTGTAATATTCAGTGGAATATCATAACTATGTGTGAAAATAAGAGAAGCAGTTGGCCCCATAGGCATCGCCAGGGGTGTGCAAAAAGGGCACTTCCCTTCCCCCCCAGCCGTACTACGATGTGCTCCCTTAGCATCATGTACCCACCACCCCCCCTAAAGTGAAGATCCTGCCAGTGCCTTTGGTTGGCCCCAGTGGAACAGGTTTTAATCATAATGCAGGTATAACTTTCTTTTGAAATTTGTGTACTCTTACAACAGGAAAAAAAGGAAATTAAATCGAGAAAACACTATTGCAGGTGACAGTGCCAAACATCTCTCCACCAATGTACAATACCATCACACCAAACAAATTCTCTCGCACTGTTGAAGAAGCTCGAGAGTACGCTGCTGAGTACACCCTCCACCATCTGCTTCAGAGACTTGACAGTGAGTGTTCCAGTGTTTTTTTTTTTTTCTCATTTGGCTCTCTGTACTAATGTTGTCTAGACACTACATTGAAGCAGTCTTAATGGTTGTACTTGTAGTTTATTTTCTTCAAACTGTTTAAAACTTTTACAGTGTGTGATACACACAGCCTTCAAGAACTGATACACACAAGGTTCAAGGACTCTTCCTTGCAAACTTTTTCAGTGTTGGAGATACAGTCGAACCCCGCTACAACAAAACTAATGGGGCGGGGAGAATATTTCGTTGAAGCGAAAATTTCGTTGTAGAGAAATTGAAGAAGTTTATGGCTGACCTGAGCTAGCATAACAAAGGAACGTTTATTTTCAAAATTTAAAAAGGTGTCCGTTGCTTCCTATTCTTTCCCAGCATTTCCCAGCAGTGTCACGAAATGATTCTCAGTCATAGCGAGGCCATGGTGAAAAGCATGCTGAAACAATGCCTACAACCGCTTTCATGAACTTGCCAAACAGTTGAATAAACACGTTAAAACCAGCAGCTGTCCGCCGTCAAAGTGTATCGAACAACGCCGATAAGGAGGCAGGGTATCCTGGAGCGGGTATCCTCCACCATCTCAAGGCTGTTAGGTCAACATTGGTGCTAGTACCTCCAAATGATGCTGTTTAGGACCACAAATTGTCACACAGTCTAGTAAACTTTGAACAGTGAAGGGGTTTCAGTGTCCAGTTTCAAGACACCCTGATGCGTTGGCTACATTGAACATGTAATGCACAGCATTCAGCACGGTTAACGCGAACGGTCCGACACGTGGTTTCTTTCTGCTTCAACTGACGTCAGCGCCACCAAGGGTTGGATGCGGTATGTTTGTTGCAACTTAACGATAACTGGAGCAAAGCATCAATCTTGCTAGTAAATTCTTGTTTCACTTCTACCTGGCCGGCGGGTTGGATGCACTCATTTGGCTGGTATGTTTTCACGAGTTTGTGGCGTGGCTACGCTGTAGCATGTGCTTGTTAAATTGTGTGTTGTATGCTTATCTCAGCAATGAAGTATCGCATGAGATATCTACTCTCTTTTCTTCACATTTCAAGTTTTCTGCCCAAAAGAAATGTGTGGAAGATGTTGCACGCAATAGTTCATAGCTATAATAAGCATACGACACATCATTTAACAGGCACGTGATACAGCGTAGCCACGCCAGAACGTGGTGAGAACGGACCCACCAAGAGAGCGCATTCGACCCGCCGGTCAGGCAAAAGTGAAACAAAAATTTACTATTGAAATCAGCATGCGCTCCATTCATCGTTAGTTGCAACAAACATACCGCATCCAACGCTTGGTGGAGCTGACGTCAGTCGAAACGAGGAGAGGCAACGCGTTGGACCGTTCAGGTTAACCGTGCTGACGGCTGTACCATGTAAGCAGATGGCTGTACCATAGAAGCAGCCGAATAATCAATTATGTGTGAAAAATTTGGTGCTGAAAAAGAATTGTGTGCATGATCTTTTTAGACCAGGTAATTAACGGGAAGAGTTGACCTATTAGGCATTGATGCATTTGGTAGTGCTCTGTCATTCCTCAACCTTTTTTTTTTTTTTGTGTGATATTTTCTGAAGTAAACTTTCGTCACAGTGACTGGACAGGACTCTTTCATATGTTGGTGACAATATTGTAAGATGTTCAAGTGCAATGCGCAGAGCGATGGCCTAGTGACAGTGATGACCCGGTAAAGAAAAGTTGCCTGGGAAACTTGAAAAAGGGAGTTGTGATTTACCCCCACAATAATTTCCACAGTGATTTTTAGAAGCAACACTGTACTCTGCAGCTATTGAGACACTATAAATGAGGTTTAGTAGGTGGGGTTGTTGTTCAAGTACTGCATGAAAGACTGGCCATAAGTATTTGTAGTTGGAGGTTTTAACTTGTGCACTTTCAAACATGAAGAGTTAAATATGTCTGCATAGCTGTTATAAAAGGTCACTAGAGAGGAACAAGCAGTTTAGAATGATAAATTTTTTGAGGAATCTACATCATTGGAGTCACGATTTTGGGTTAGTGTTTAGAACACAAAATGAAGGTCACAGTTGCATTTTCAAATTCTGCGAAAATTGCTCATATCCTTAGTGTCAGTGTAAAGTTGCTGATTTTAGTCTTTTTTTCACATTTTGGCCAGGTTAGCTAAGTAAATCTTGGGAAACTTAACAGTGTTCAGTTGCTGGCTCTCTAAAAGCGCAATGTATTTTATATTTACTAATTAAAAATCTTGTAGGGCCTGGCAGGTGTTGTCAAAGGTAACTACATGGCCAGTTCGTGCGCATTTTAAGTTGTTGCTGCCTCGTGTACTTCAGGGTTTTCTGGTTTATGAAGCAATCTTTTTTATAAAGAGAGGAGATTGTTGATATCTTAGTAACTATATTACAACAGCATTTTTTGTTTGCTGTCCTGTAGAGAACCACATTCTCCACTTCTGTAGTAATACACATTCCTGAATGCATGTCTTGTGTTCTCCCCACAGTGGCCACCCCTGCCCAGCACCCGCACCCCACGAGCCCGGTTTTCGTAGCTACCCAGACACTTCCGACCATCGGCATCGGCCAAGGCTACCCTCAGTACGCCGCTGTGCTACCCGGAGCAGGTAGCCCTGCCATTACTGGGCATCCTTGGCAGCATCGCCAGGGCAATCCTCCACCGCCTCCGCAGCCGTAGCTCCGCTGTGTGCTTTGCTGTCTTGCGTAAGCGCCATGTTGTTTGTCTGCTTTGTCCAGTCTGATTTGCCCAGCTTGTGCTTGCATCCTCGCTTTCTTGCTTCGGCATTTTGTGATTCTCGAGCAGTGTTGCAGAAAAAGGTATCACAATTTCTGACAGGTAACTGTATAACTGAAGGGGTTTGAACTTTGAAAAATGCAGTACAGGCGATTCCCATTAATATGAAGTTCACAGGATTTGCAAGAAAGTTACAGTTAAACGAACTTACAGTTAAGAAAAACTAACAAAAAAAGCTGCCCTTTTATTGCTTCAAACCTGGCAGTTCTCTAAAAAATAGTTTGTCATGTTCTTCTCTTGCCGAATCTGGCAGCTGCTAGCAAGTTTTCCAAGCACTACACATGTTGAAGCGCTTCTTCACATTGCCACACACATGCTTCAAGAAGCATGTGTGTGGCAATGTGTTCTTCACATGCTTCAAGAAGCATTGTCTTCAAGAAGACAATGCTTCTTCAGCATTGTCTTCTTCTAGAAAAGAGAAAGGTAGGATTCTGTTAGGTGTTGCTTAAGTCGGTTGCCAGCTGCGCAAGAACAAGACTTGCAGGAACATCAGTAGCCCTCGGTGACGATTCGTTTCTGATGTTGTCGTTGTCGTCCACTAGCCACTGTGACAAATTCCACAGAACGGACGTCACTAAGAATGACCCCAAAACTACTGCCGTTGAGCTCACCTGTTTGCACTTGATGAAATTAAGGAGCGTATATGCTTAAGGCCGTACTTTCATGCAATGTCTTGCTTGGCAGTACCTTCCTGGTCAACGTCTTTCAAAACTTCCGGCTCTCGTTGCCAAGTCAAGCATTCGGTAGAGACCACGAGTCGCCATTATCAAACGTCGCCATCACGAGACTCAAAATCAGATGTGGAAACACATGAGGAATCGGCCTACGGTGCGTTGGCGGGCTAGTTGGTTTGTTATGCTAAGTTTGAACTGCACAACTGGACGCGGACGAAGCAAAACTTGCGAACACACACACACAGCACTGTGTGTGTGTCTGCGCGCTTTTTTCCGCCCGTGTCCTGTAGCACTGTTCATCATCATTCACTTTGTGGATATGCTGCAATTTGTTTTTTCATTATAGAAACTATATGCGAAATTCACCAGTCACTGCCAAAAGTACAGCTCTGCATGTGCCTTGCACGTCAACTGATCCGCTATCTGGATGTCTATCATGAGTATTCTGATACTATAATTTTCAAACCTTCATCCAATAAACACTGATATAAAATATATGGTGTTACAAGCCAGTTGTAAATTTAATAGGTCATGCTTTATTGTAATGGAGTGTTGTTCTATGATAGTGACAGCATTGGTGCAAGATATAACACTGTATTGGTGATAGTAAGGCAAATACTGCTGGAATAGCACTTGTAGCAACACTTTACAGTCCAGGCCGATTCTCACCATCAGTGTCATTGTCTCTTGACATGATAAAAATTAATTTATAGCAAAAGCTGATAAAAATTGATTTACAGCAAAAGCTGTTAGGGAACTACAACTGCAGTTTCTGGTTCTGTAGTTGTTTGCTGCCTCGTCTGCCACCGCCATTGTCCATAACCGCTATCGTGTGAAATAGGAAAATAAAATCTATAGAAGTTGAAAACAAGTATCCCCGAAACAATGGGATTCGAACGTACGCTGTCTGCATTGCAGCCCAGCATTCTCCCTCAGAACCACCCGGTGCTAAAGATTCTTGTTCAAGCAGAACTTATGCAGGCTTAATTTTAATGTCAGGGAAGAAATCCCGTTAACTTGTGCAATAGAGCAGTTTCAAAAAGTGACGCAACAACCGGGCACCGCACAATGCGAATTTCGTAACTCGTGGGTCGCTGAACGCTTTCGACCCGTTACAAAACGCCCGGCAAGAATTCTTTGATCGTCATCAGCCACAGCGTCAGTCGCCAATGTGCACAGAATGCCTTGAAGGTGTGCACCAGGCACCACACTTCTCTGAGGAGTGAATAATGGCGTTGGCAAGTGCTTTCCTAGCTCACAAAAATCACGATTATTTGTGGCGTAGTAGTTGATCGATTGATATGTGGGGTTTAATGTCCCAAAACCAGTGGCGTAGTAGTTGCCATGCAAGCGTACCTGTAGTAGTAGTTGCCTCATAGAAGGTTTTAAAAGGGCTCTGCAAAGGCCGCTATTTCGGCTTTTGCCGCGGCTGTGCTGCGCACTCTGCATAGGCCTGGCACTTCTGTGCAAACGTTGGCCAAAATCTGCACCTGTACCTCTTGAGGAGTACCCATTAAAAGTTGCGATCTTGTACACATAAAAATGGAACTATTCTCTTAAACCTAAATAATTCAGCAATAGGAACCTAAATAATTTAGCAATAGAAACGCTGACCTTAACGTTGCTACAGCTTCGTCCCTGCTGCAAGGCAAAACTGAGCTAATGCTCACTTTCATATTTACTTCTTTCTTGTCTTAATGAAGCTGTAGGAGGACTGAATACAAAGTGAAGTGTAAAGTCTGGGTTCTCGTATGTTACTGTGACTGCTGAAAGCAGGCTTTTGTGGGGAAGCTGCTCAATGCCTGCAATACACGTAGTGCATGCAATGAAAGCCGTGCCTCTTGCCCTGTGTACGCCTGCAAGTGATTAATTCTCGTTGGTGTTACGTCTTCGTATGCAACGCTTTTGCAGATGCTAAGCTAAAAAAAAAAAAAAACCTTCAGTATAGCATTGTCCTGCGTACCTGATTTAGGGTTACAACAGCAAGGCAATGACGCCAGTTTGATACAATCATCAATTTTTGCACCTCGCTGAGCCAAAACCATGAAATTTACTGAAATTTCGCCTTGCTGGGCCAAATGCCCGACGAGCCTGAAAATTTTCTCACTTGGCTTAGTTTCAGCGAGAAATGGAGGCCACGTGGGCCACCTGCACTTTAGGCATCAGCAACCACTCTAATCCAGATGCGCCGACCCCACCCCGAAACCACAGTTAGATTCCAGCCACCCTACCACGGTGTAAGGTACTCTTTAGGGGAGGACACTTGCGAGTCTCAATCGACTGCATTGAGCATCAACATTGTGCTCCCCGTGGTTCACTGACCGCAGCAGATACTTATCAGCTGGACGATGCAACTACGCATGGACGATGCAACTACGCAGACGTGCGAAGTAGGAATTTCCTAATCGGCAAACGTGTGGCTATGGCATGTAAGAAGTGAAGCTGGAAGTGTACATATGCCGCTTTTTCGGTAGGCGAAGAAACTTCGACATGCTGCAACATGTCGCCGTTGCCACCGACCACGTAGAGCAGCACACAAAACATACCTCGATTTTGGAGTCATGTCGTCCGCCTGATAGGTGCCATCACTGGACCAGCGTATTCACTCTGTTCTTACTTTGTCTGATTGAACACTCCTTGCTAGCAAGCTGAGTAGTTGTGCCCTAAACCTAACCGAGGGGAGTGTGGAGGCAGTTTCAAATTTTCTTGGCCAATTCAACCCCGTGCAAAACGCTGTTCAATCCATCTTCGCTGCAGTACGCCAGTGCTCAGCGAAAAGCGTGTTACTATTTAGAGGAGTTGCAAGCATTGGTCGTGGGGCACAGTACATTTTGTTCCTCAATTACTCATGCCCTCATCCGCCACATAATTGTGAGTTGCTAGAATGATCACCGACATCTAAAAAGCTGCTGGCAATCTTTAGAGGTGTAGGACATTTCTGCTACTTTAAGAAACAATAAACAAAACCGTACGCAAGTTCTTAATCACTTACGAGGTTGCGTCACGCTTACTGCTTTACGAGGTTGCCAGCTTGGCATATTCACATTTAAACTTGTAGAGTCTGTCAAAGGATTTGGCAGGCACTGCAAATACAAATGTGAACTTCTTCATTGCTTGCACCATGGGGTGGTTTGAAATAGTTTTTATTGAAATAATGGTGTTAATGAACACTATGCACGATTTAGGGGATGTTGAATGATTTGTGCATATTTTTCTTTTATAGAAATAAAATTGTTATGCTGCTTCCCTTTTTCTGTTACCTGCTACAAATTTGGATTTTCTTGCGGCAAAAGCAACATTTTGCTGCTCAAAAAATTGCTTCAAATCCCATTTTGACTGTTGCACCCCTGCTGATCTCATCATTACTCAATCTAAACAATCTTAAATCCTTCTCACTTTCTTTCAGGTTGTTTTAATTCATTGAAATGTCTTTCCTGGGCAGTTGGACATTACAAAACGATGTGGTGTGGTAAATACCTATTGCAGAAAATGTGTGCTTTTAATGAGAATATTAGCAAAGCAAGAACCTTCAAACTCATATTCGATTCATGAGTAAGCATGCTTCTAACATATACATTCGAGTTAAAACTCCGAAACTTAAGCATAGTGTTAGCTTATAGCATATGAAAGTATGAAAGAAAGGGAATTGTTTGAGAGACTCGTTCCTTTGTTAGACGGAAGTAATGGGATCACAGACAAATTAAGCTATGAAAAGGGTAGGGGATACTATATATATTTAAAAGAATTTTAAGGTTTGGACTTGGACTGAGAGGGATTAAAGTGTACAAAAAATCACCCTTTTCTTCAGTGGGATAGCATACGTTTACTTTGTGCAGGTTGGTTAATTACCGATTGATTGAACGTGTCCTTTGTTGCTGATATGTACATGAGTGTTGAATACTTCGCTTTACATTTGTATTTGTGGCTGCTTGCACTCATCGGCATACTCGTTGATTATTTTTCACTCGTGTTCAAGCTAACTTAAGTCGGCAGTCGCATATGCTCACTCCGATTCACATTCATTCGCGTCTACTCGCACTCACTCGCTTACTTTCATCTGTTTACTCATGCTATCTGCTGCCCATTCACGATTCTTGATATGGGTGTGCGAGTGCAAACTTATAGGCTCAAATGCAAATCTAGTAGGCTCCATCTACATTACTTATTTTTTTGCGATTTCAAATGTGTGTACTGCAATCTCTTGTGCCGTCATTTGCAGGTTTCTTCGTGAACACGACAGCGCGGCCAGTCTACATTTCGGCCTATCACAGCACAACCTACTGACGTGCCTTGCGTCTTTGCAACTGCCTTCATCTAGAGTATCTCAGTGTTGTTCTTGTTTCTCTCCTCATTCCGTCTTGACCACCAAAGAGGCAAGGCCAGTCTGCTGCATCTGTGGCTTTGCCATTGAACCTCGTGAACACTATGTGCCAGTTGCTGATTAATGAACACAGGTCAGCACAGTTAGCCAAGGGAACATCCTGCTTCTGACGTTCATTGAGCACTTGATGCTATAACCTATGTGGTAATAGCAGGTAAATTGATTGATGTTTTCAAGGTGCCCTTCTAATGAACAAGTTTAAAGGCATGTCGTCTCATCAATATTGAACTTGACCATTCCACGTAACATGCTCATCTCGTAACGGTTTTTATGACCAACGTCGGGTTAGAGAAATACGTACTAAAAGCGTATGGTGAAATATTTTGGCCATACAATCCCAAGTTTTCTTTAAACTGCATCTGTAGCCTTGTGGAAAAAAAAAAGTTTAACTGGAGCGGCAGCACACCTTTAACACCATTTCACTGCTCCTTTCAAAACGCAGGTCTGCTTTGTGTGAATGTGCTTTGCCCATTTGTTGGCTTCATTTTGAGGCTATAACGTGCGACCTGTAGTTGCTAAGTGAAGTTTCACAGTCATTGGCGCTCACAACATGGGCTATTCGACATCTGCTGCCGCGACTGACGTATCATCATTGCTTAATCTGTGCTGACCTGTGTTTAGTAATTGCTTGTCTACATCTATCTTTTTACATTTTTATCTTATATCTCTTTACGCTTTTAAATGTTCGATTTGTTTGTGAATTTCATGCTTTTATCATTATATCTTTTTATGCTTTTAAATGTTCGATTTGTTTGTGCATTCCATGCTTTTATCATTATATCTTTTTATGCTTATAAATGTTCGATTTGTTTGTGCATTCCATGCTTTTATCATTGTAGCACAGCCAAACAGCTGTGCCTACATATTTTTTTGAAAAGAACCTCTTGTATCTCATTGTGTGCCTTTGCTACTTATCTGCAAGGGAGGTCTTGGCAATTCTTTTAGCTGTTGACGTTGGACATTTACAGTCCTAAAGCCATTTTAGCTTTGCTTGGATTTTAGGTTTTTACTCTCTACATTGAAAGATGAATTGCACCTTATTAGCATTGATTAGTGTGATACTGCCCATAATTGCCCTCTGTTTACAGGCATGTGCGTATTGCTTGCCTGGAAGCTCAAGTAGGTGGGACAGTTTTGAACACTTGATATATGGCACCTGCATCAAAACCTTCTGCTGTGTGGGGCACAGGACATTTAATATCTGCTCATAAAAAAATATGATTTAAAAGAAGTTTTGTTTTGTAGCAGAATGATATGATGCTGATCAATTTGAAAAAAAAAAGTAATTTGACAGACTACACATTCAGTGTGAAAGAATTTCGTAATGCAAATGTACTTTTAGAATACTTTTATCTCTGGTGCTTTAAATTATGCATGTTGTTTCCCAGCAATGTGTTCGAAAAGACGGGGGCTCCTTCAAGACAATTGCCTCACAGAAATGACCAGACTGTTCATTAGAAACGATTTCTAGAATAATTATTTTACCGAAATCACCGTAGTTTTATCTCTACAATGAATGGATACCTGTGTTGTGTGAAAAACATAACAATGGTGCAGTCGTCTTTCATCGCTCATCCCGACAAAGGAGGGAGAGGAAAGATATGGCAGTGTACAGGGCCGACTTCAATTAGTCGGTATTAAGAGCTCGTACCAACCGATGTGCAATGTAAAATTCAGAAAGCAACTTCTTTCATCGGTTGTCGTCACCATTAAGCACTCTTAAAGGCAGATTTCTGGGAAATGAAGCAAAAGAGCTGGCTTGACTATTAACGAGCTGCTTTCTCCAATTACAGTCGGTCTTGTACAAATCACACCTGAAAGATGGTGCAATTGTGAATGGTGCCACTTTTTCCCCTCCTCTAAAGGTTTCTTTCACACACCTCATAACTGGGGATATCGTTCCAGTTTGTTTTTATTTGAACCATGATTTTATCTCTACCTTTTTATACAACTTGCAAGGCCTTCCTTGAGCACTGTCACATTCTCATACAAATACTGACTAGTGCATAGTATTGCGAAGGGCACAGTATTATGAAGTGCGCATGCAGACTTGTTTCCTGTTTGGGACAAGGTCAGCTAGCACTTCATATTTATTATTTTCTCATGTGGGCTGCTGGCATACGACTAGCTTTTAAAATTTCATAAGCTATTGCGTGTGACAAGGCCCGCTCATTCTATTTGTGCGTGAAACGTCACTTGTCGTTGCAATAATCACTTGTCATCGCAACATTGCTGTTTCCTTTGTTTGCTAGTGTTGCTGTTTTGTTATTATTATTATAGATTTATGTGTAGTGTTTATTATGCCCCTTTGCTAAGCTTACTTTATTGTGTTCATCTATTTTCTTGTGCTTCCCGGTTTCTGCTTTGCCATGGAAATTGCCAACTTCGGGTTTGCTTGGGTGAGTTCATCTAGTCATGTGGTCTGTTCTATCATTGCCTAGTGCTGGAGCTACCGTGCCTTCTTTTGTATTTCCATCGTAATGTTGGTTACTTTAACTTCTTTTCTCTTTATTGACTTGCACCTGATGCTGCTCGAACTCTTATACACTAGCACATCCCATTGTCCCACTTTGATTTCTGGTTTTAGCTAGGACTCCTCTTATGGACCAAAAAAATGTTATTTTTTATATTTGTGACTGCGAATTTCACCGAGTGTCACGCTTCCATCCAGTTAATTGTTAAATAATGCTCCGTGCACCAAACTTGAGCCTTCATGGAAAGTTAGTTTGACTTTCATGTTGATGCTGACTAGCTTGGTACAAATGTGAGCAAATGTGTGAACTGACAGAAGCACCTTATTCTGTTATTCAGAATGGGAATGAGAGCTCGTATTTCTACGTAACCTATCCTGGTAACGCCATTGGAAAGTTCCCTCTTCGCATTGTTAAAGTGTTACTGGTGTGTGATATTGGCCTCTGGTGAAACTGAAATTCATTCTAAAGGGAGCTTGTAGATGTTTCTCAAATGCCATTCTTAGCTTCAGCAGTGCCTTCAGCCAACATTCTATTCAGATCTCTTGTCACTGCAATCTTCTTGCAATGATTAGGATATCAATCAGCGGTACTCCTTGGGCAGATCACCTTACTCGTTTAGGCAATCTTTCTTGGAAACTTCGAAAACAGTAGTGGTCATTTGTCCCCTCGAATTATTGCGCTCTTTTGTCATTTCTGTGCATCCTGCCTTAAAACATAATCACTTAATGTCATAAATATTTCGAGGCACCACATGTGCCCTCTAAATCCCTTTTCATGCTCCTGTGATAAAGATTCCGAGTCAGTTGAAAAACTGTAATTTGGCCAGATTATTTTGTGGGAACTGCCACACGCTACGGATGGGAAGTGAATATTTTGCTAGTGGAATTTTCAGAATGCCATCATTCAACTTCACTACAGCTTGTATGAGATCCACAGGTCGCAAGAGCTCCTGTGATAAAGATTCCGAGTCAGTTGAAAAACTGTAATTTGGCCAGATTATTTTGTGGGAACTGCCACACGCTACGGATGGGAAGTGAATATTTTGCTAGTGGAATTTTCAGAATGCCATCATTCAACTTCACTACAGCTTGTATGAGATCCACAGGTCGCAAGAGATATATAAAAAATGAAAAATTTGTTCCTATATATGTGAATGTTCATGCCAATTGGCCATTGATGCTTATGCTTCAAAGTCTCAAGAGCATTCACACCTCCAGCGTAAGATAAGGTGTTGTGTGAGTGCATTGGTCATGCAGTTATTTAATTTTCTCGTTCCTTGAGTGCAGTTTGTTGCTACGTTTTCGTTTAAAATTTGTGTGCCAGTGTGTTATTTATGGCTTTTTCTTGTCGCCCTCACAAGTTCTGAGTGTGCGCTTTTTGAAAATCTAAATAAAGTTGAGTTGAAAATCACATGTTCCTAAACCTTCTTGGTAAAGAGTGTCGGTGGTTGATTGAGAATTATCCTATAAAAGATTCACAATCATGAAAGAAAGCAGCTTGTGTTTACAGTCACTATAATTAATTAGCTTGCAAACCTCACTGTATAAAATTTAGTCCAAGCAATAAAAAACAGCTTAAAAACTATAGCCAGTTCATATATTCTCATCAATGTCAGCATCTAAATTGGTATTTAGTTCTAATAATTATGCTTATAAATTTCTTCAAAAGGTGTTGGTTTAGTACGGAGAAAATTTTGAGCTTCCAAGTGCTTGTACCCCCGCAGGGGTGCGTGTGCACGTAAGCAGGCTTTAGGCTAGTGGCATCACCATGGGCTCAAGCCAACTGGTAGATTTCCGACTCTCTCTAGTTGTCCATCTAGTTGACATGTCCACTTCAGCCGGAAGCATTGTTACTCAACCGCTTATATCAATTATCGATGGGGTTTTTTTGGCACTTGGGCATCATTATAAGTAGACTGCATTATATTATTATATTTACTTACCCTGAGGCCAGCGTGACAGATTTTGTAAAGCCCCGTAGAACAAGCATTTGTTTTTGTGTTTCCTTCACACAGTTCGACAGCACCCGCTCAAATACCTGCTTAATGCAGCATGGTGTCCGAGAGAACACCTTTAAAAGGCAAGTCGAAAGGCACACTGAAAGAAGAATATTTCTTTTTATTCACTCCTTTACAAGAGCAGTGAGGCGCTTTCCGGTCGATTACAGCGTCGCGCGCACTTGCGACTAATGTTAACGAAAGTGGCATATGCGCGCAACCAAAGCTGGGAAAGCGTTTATTGCTCAAAACGGACATCAGTGGACAGAATTTGAAACCACCCTGCTAGTTTAGCGATTGATGAGGCCTTTTCAGAGTGCTACTCATTTGTCACGTTGTTCAGGCATGTGTACTTGCCAGACAACACATAAGAATATGACAAGTTACATTAACGGCCAGAAGTTACGTGATAACGTTTTTGTGAGGCACTGTTTTTTGTTTTTGTTTGCGGGCTTTCATTCTGAGGGCATACACTTTAAACCACTGCAAAGAAAGGAACGAGTAGATTGGTTATAATTATCGCTCTTAACCAGTGCAGGAGCGAGATGCGAGTCTTCAGGAACTAAAGAGGCTAATTGCTTCGTTTTGCCCCTTCCACTGGTTCTTTTACTGGGACAAACGATGACGTGTAAACTCATAGTTCATTACGAGAGAAATGGGAGAGTATGCGTGTAGATATGAATGCTATACGAGTCGTTGCGACCTTGATAAACGAGCTCTTAACGAATTTTCTAGTGCACACAAGCTCTTCACCAACACACAAGCTTCACTTCAAGAAACAGCACAACAAAACTACTCAAGCACTGAACACAACAGAGGTACAATTAAGAAATGCAGTAACACGATTGACGCGGCACGGAAGAAAAAAAAAGCTGCCTAAGAAGTAATGCAACTGCTATGTTTTTGTGATTAGGTGAACGTAGAACAATGACCTGTCTAAATATGTGCACCACAGAAACACGCACACAAGAAAACTGATCCGTTACTAGGACAAGACGGATTGGAGGGCTACGCAATCATATGTGCATATGCCTGCCGGAACAAAGGTATTAAACTATGGCCTCCGAGTCTGGTGGTCACGGGACTCCTTCCTTGGTCATTTCGGAGGCTGCGGATTGAGCGGCGTCACAAAACGATTATGGCGATTGTTAGCTCGTCATCATCCCACTGTGCAATGTTGATCCACTCACCAGCTGCCTATAGCGACTGCCCTATCTTGGAACTTCACATTATTTAGACGTCGATGGGTTGAAATTGAAGGCATCGTCGAACTTCATTTACTACTTCACACAGTAAGGGGATACAATACATCTGCGCAGTAGTAAATTCATCCTCGGGTGAACTCGCGTATCGTGCACAAAGGAAACTGACCATGTATGGTTGTTGCTAGGTGCGGTCACTTTTTATAGTTGTGATTACTCATTGTCTCCGTTTAAAGGACTCCCACTTAAACGCTCAAGTTTTGTGATTACCCATTGTCTCCGTTTAAAGGACTCCCACTTAAACGCTCAAGTTATTAAGGCATCCATATACAAACAGTGTGAAGTGCCTATTGAAGGAACGCAATTTAGTATGAGAGTTCGTCTAACGGCATTTTTCTAATTCGGTTATGCTACGTTTGTGTAGAAACATGTATAGATAAATGTGCGTCGTTTTAACTAATTACTTTGGTTTGTACCAACTTGTGCTCTATTGGGTAGTGAGGTCACTTGGTCAATTAACACCATTGCCACGAAACACGTTTCTGTCTTCTCTTTCGCAAGGTGCCTTTCCAGACGCCTCGTGCTATGTCGGTTCATTTTGTAACTGACAAGTCGTGCTGCATGGAAATATGCGTAGTCATTTCACCCGGGCAGCCAATTGAATCGAGAGCTATGCGCCTTTATGTGGAGTGTAAATTTCAAGCCTTCTGAGAAATGAGCTGCTGTTAACTCTTTGTAAACCGCTTCTTGCTTTCCAAGCTTTTTTTTTTTTTTTTTTTTTTTTTTTTTTTTTTTTTTTACTGAAGGCGGTAACGAGACCAGCGACGATCAATGGTGGCCGTGCAATCATAATCGTGGGTGGCTACAACAAAAAACAAACGATTTATTAAAGAAATGTTTGAGCTTAAGTCAGTCATTTTCGCGCATATTATAGTCCATATACAATCGGGACAGCGATACTAAATTTTGTTAACGCCTTTGAAGCGCAGCGGTTGTATTCTGGAGGGTGCCACACCCGCTGAATCGTATAACACATATAATATTGCATGTAAAATACTGGCACACAATATGATAGCGGGTATGAAGAGAAGGCCCTCTGAGGAAACTACAGTAGTTGGGAAAGAACTTAAACGTTGTTTTAGGGAGTGATACACAAAGCGAACCGCATCTAAAAAAAAAAAACCGTTGACATGTGAATGGTTGAGGTAGGCTTTTCCACAATATAACCATATTTGTGGTGAAGCACGCTTTCAAGGCGTATCTTAGACACGCTTGAAGGGAGGTAAGATCTCTTGGGGTTAGTTCGTCACAAGCTATAGTTTCCGAGAGAGAGAGAGAAAGAACGAAAAAAATGTTTTTGTGCATCAAATGATTTCTACGGGAGCTTTTTTCTGCGAGTTCTTAAAAAGGGTCCAAGGCTTGTTTTGTAACGCTGTGCGACGAAACTTGTAAACGCTGCTGGCCATCAAACTCTTTTTAGGGTGGACGTCGAAAAAATTGCAATCGAAGGGGCTCGTCCGCTCTGACATACAATGATCAGTTACGAGTAGTACGCCCTTTCATAGATTTTCAAACGTTTCGTCATTTCGAAGCAACGCAGCACAGGACGACGCATTCGCTACCCGATTGTCTGTCACGAAGTTGAGGATGTACAAGATTGCTAACAAGAATTAAGTTCACATTTGGTTTATACATTATACCTTAAAAAACGCCGTTATGACTTGCACATTACCAGTTGCGACAACGGAGAATAGCGAGAGCGCGTCATTACACTCAACAGTGACGTAATGCAGTATAGCGCGGAAATTAAAAAAGAAAATAATACTGCGGGCTAGCAAGATCGCGATCTCGGCGATTAGTTAGTGTGATTCGATGTGAGCGTCTAGCGCGGCCAAATCTTTAAACACACATTTTTGCTGTCGGGGTACAACGTAAGAAGGCCCAACTGACCGGACCCCGGCAGCCAGTTCTCTATGCAACTGAAGAAAATAGCCTCGTTCATGTTTTTTTTTTTCGCGTTCTCGATCGGAGGCATCACCGGTCGGTTGTCTGATGACGTCAGTCAGGAGTGTGCGTCCATTAGTGCAGGCTTGCATACATCCGCCTTTGAAGAGGCAACGCCACCGCTCTCTAAAGCTGTACATGACCATAGAGAGATGCGCCATACGACCCCGACAGGCGTTATGCTTTGTCGTGAGGAAAATAATGGCATGATGGTATAGGAAGGGCCACGCTGTACCTGTTTCTGCATTAGCTTCTCATTGCGGCAGCGGAATCACTTGAGGCACAAAAAGTTGGAATGACGTGGGGTGTGACGTGAAGCACAGTAGCGTAGCTTGCTTCTAAGTCTGCAATAAAGTTGATGTGTGCTGTCACACACTTAAAATGATAGCTTGTTTCAAAGCCTCGAGTTGCGACATAGTGTAACCGTAAGTGACATAAATGCCAACTGTTTTGTGCGTTAGCGCGGCTCTCCAATTCAAAGTTAAAACAAGCGGTGGTGCCTGGTGCGGTCATGGTGGTTCATTTTCCATATATTTACAAGTGACATCGGCAAGGTGTACGCTATACGCCTTTTGTATGCACGAGCTTCGCAAACATCGTAACAGTTTGAGCGTCTCAATATCGAATTGGATACGCGGAGTCGTGTTCCTTGCGACTTCGGATCACTTCAGGCACAGATATGCACACGCCGCCAGGGAGATAAGATCGAAACAGAGGGCAGGTGAAAAGGGAGGGAAGGAGAGAATGAAGATATTAGAGCGAGGCAGTGAGGTTAAGTAGGCTTAGCTCAGTTGGCTGTCTTACTCGGGGAGGGTACGGAGGGACGGGACACTGCACGGGTGCACACACACACACAGTCATATCTGGAAATGTTCGCCGCCCAGTTCATCACAAGCAGTCACATTGGGTTGCGCACCTCACGAAGCGAGGTGGCAGCGCTCCTATAACATTACACAACGGAAAAGCGCGATGCTGTGGTTCCGAAAATCTCTTCTGTAAAGGGTCTGTCACTCGAGAGCCCCAAAACGCTGTCACAAGTTCTGGTGATTATCGAGAGGCCGTCACTTCTCGTACGATTGGCGGTCTGTTCATGGTTTGAACAGAATGTTGCTTCGATGAACGGCGTCGGAAGCTTGTTCTGCTTAACGCTGGAATCCCCAGAAACGCTGGGTGTGTCGAGCAGCTATCCAGAAGTGGATGTTCTTGGTTTCACAGGGACCGCAAGGGTCTCGATTGACCGAATCCCTGGCAGAGAAACTGACGCATCTGCTGGCTCGAGAAGTTAAAAAAAAAAAAAAGAGGTCGAAAAGTTTGACCACGGGACACAGTGCTAACAGCGCCGTCTCTCAGCAGCTTGTGACCATGATGCTGGGCACACCGGAGGCACTGGGCGCCGCAGCGTCGTCCAGCGAGGTAGTCCTTGTGACGCCACTCGAAGGTCGAACGTCTTCGGCCACGATGCTGAGCCTGGAGCGTCGCAGCGACGAGCTGGGACTCACTTCCCTCGACCGAGAGGCCGGTCCGCTGGGCGAGCTGGTGGCCACCAGCATGGAGGTGACGCAGTTGCCCAGACTGACCACGTAGCTCTCGCTGCTCAGTGGAAGGCTGCGGCGAACAAGAGAGACAGAAAGACGTAAACACGGCTGTCTCCGAAGGCGAGCTGCTCATAATTTTGCGAAACGAATAAACATACGCTAGTGCAGAGTTGTCATATTTGGGGGTGGAAGCAAGCTGCGGTGAAGCATTGTATATAAGCTACCAGCCCCGTAACACATTGGTGGAGGTGCTGGATTGCATATTGCTATTTTAAACATTGTACATAAGCTGCCAGCCTCGTAAGACGTTGGTGGAGCTGCTAAGTTGCCACCATTCAAAACATGATTTTAAAAATAAGTAAAAAAAATGCTACAGACGTCTCATTTTGCCCCAACCTGCAAGGCAAGACGCTGCGTGAAGCAAAACGAGACAGTGTGAAATAAATTCATTCCTTCAGTTTTCTTTTTCAGTATGAAGACTTGAAACTCACGCAGTTTTAAAGAGCCTAATCCTTGGGACTCCACGCATTGATTCTGGACAGATCGCGGTGTTGTGTTGCTCCGAAATTCTTTGCAGATCAAACACCGCCTGTCTTTCTTGGCGCTAATGACTTTCGTTAAACACCTGCACCTCATTAGATTATTCAACAATTAGAGGCCAGATATGTTCTGACGTATCTTCTTCACCCTTTTTTGCCCTTTTGATGCAAAACTGTTCAGGTGTTTCACGGCTTTTAACTTCGTCCGCCGGGATTTGTGAGGCAATGAGTTTAAAACTATGCAAAATTCAGATTTCCTAGCACTTGTTTTTTTTAAAATTAGAGTATTGAAGAGACGTAGTTAAAATGCAATTCCAAGACGTGTGTGTGTGAACGACTTGACTTGGAGATTCTACCATTTTTTTATGCGTCCCTTGAGAGCATCCTTGGGAACCAAGAAAAACCTCGATGCAGCGCGAATGGAGGGAGTCATGTCCTAAACGGCAGTCGGTGCATTTTCATGTCGTTTTCCTCCCAAGAAGCTCTATACGATTTTTTCTTCTATATCCAAGCCTTCCTAAACAAAGAAATTTAGTATATATTGACTGTAAGTTAACGGTTCGATTAATAAGGCGCTCTCCTAAGGCAATTAGATGCCTTTTTATTGCGTTTCTGCCCTCTCACATGCCAGATTTTCAAAATTTCCGCTTTGTCTCCGGGCACCTAACGAACTAAATTTTTGGTGTTATGTAGCTCGTAGTATAAAGTAACAAAATAAATGCGTTGCGTTACTGACGCAGGAGTGCACAGATTTAAAAAAAATCGGCCGAGCAGGATTTCACTCCTTCTTAATGGGTCACGTACACACTGACACCAGCCGCGTAATTTTTCCCGCATGAACGCTGTGAGCAATGTTATCAACTTTTACACATGAAAAGGTAGACAAGAACCAGCACTTATCGCTGGAAAAGAGGAAACAAAAAAAAAAGTAGTTTTTCTGTCAGCTACAGAGGCCGGCAAATGTCGCGTTTCACCCCGTGTCTCATTTTACCCTACGTCATAAGAAAATAGAGCAAGAGAAATGAAGAAAAATCGGGCAGAACTCGATTTGTTTCTAACGTATAATCAAGAGCATCACTAAATTTGGATTTAATGAAGACATTGGCTGTTGTAACAGTGAATAGCTTACATTAGCCAACAGTTGTCATAATGTAGCCAAAGCAAGCCATTATGCCGATTTTATTTTTTAAGTTTATTGCTGCTAAGACGAGATTTTCAATTTATTTTCTTATGAACAGCCTGTGAAGTTAGCGACAGTAGAGCACTTGAGGAATAATTTATCAGCCTAAACAAATCTCGCGTTTTGCTACAGAATGCCTTTTAACATGGCAAAAGGGCTTCGATTTTACTTTTACTAGACAGTTCGGAGTGGCGAAGTGAACGACCGTAAAGTACACAGTGTGAATAGATTTCGCGTTTCATTATCTATTGTCTTATAACCTAATTGGGCCATTCAGGACGCGTGGAAATATCACCTGGGCCTCTGTATCTGTAGCTTCTCCTTGTTGTTTCCCGTGTACGAGGACCACGTGGAGGTTCGTGTGCGAAGGCTCTGCTGCGCCTTTTTGCGGGCCCACTCCTGGATGGTCGTCGAAAGGCTGGGCACTCGACCCAGTAGCAGTACGATGGCGCCATCTAGATTCTGCGAGACGTGGTTATAGTTAGCAAAAATATCCCTCCCTGAAAGCACTCTGTATAATACGAAAGTGAGACGGGTTAATTTTTTTCTTTGTGAATTGTTCATGCGCATTTTACGTACGTCGTTTCCGTGACGGATATGACGTCAGCGAAGCCTTTGTGGACACTGAGATAAAATAATTTAGTGTTATATAAGGGTGAAATTATCCTTCGCCACCCATGGTCCAGCGCCCCAGGGAAAGCAGTAGCAGATAAAAGGAGAAGAGAGAGGGATTGGGAAATTCAGCAGTTGCGTGGAGCGGGCGTCTATTTGTCGAGGATTTCAAATGGCCAAGCGATCATGGGGCTGGGATGCCGGGTAAACGAGGGGGTAGGAAAGGAATTCTATTAACAGCAGTGGGGAAACGTTGGTGTGTAGAGTGTGCCTCAGGCAAGCTACTTATCGCTGGGCTTTTTACACATGGTAAAGATGGGAAGTGATAATAAATGAAAAGAAGAGAAAAGCGAGCCCCGTAACTGTCCCTCAGGGGGAAGACACCTCAACAGTAGCTCACGAAGGATGGGGGTAGAGAAGGAATTAAAAGGATAGGATTAAAAGATAGAGAGAGAGAGAGGAAGGAGAGAGCAGGCGCAGGGACAGGGAGCGACGGAAGTAAGGAGAAGACAGGACAGATGGACACGGTTGCGGGAGTCCGAGAACAGGGCACCACTGGCGAGAGCTCTTGTCGGCGACAGGAGATAGCGTAGGGCTAATCCAGTCGGCCAGAGCTACGCTGTCGTCGTCGTAGGGGACCGGCGGCAGTAGGGGGCGTAGGACCAACCCAGTCGGCCAGAGCTGCGCTGTCGTCGGAGATCGCGAGGACACAACCGGTCGGCACTGAATCCAGCGAGCGAATCCAGCTTTACTGGCACTGAATCCAGTAAAGATGGGGATATAAAGAAGGGTGTGATAGGCTATGTATTACAAGTTATACTATATAAACGTGAGGTTCTGTGTACACTGCACACACAGCCGTCACTACATCACAGGTCTACGCCTGACACGCAGTGGCTTGTCGATGCGCTCTGGCGCTAATTGCGTGCAGCGAGCCAAGCGTCGAACTCACGTTGATCATCTGCGCGACGTCCTTCTGGTTGCTCTCGCGCACGTTCGTGCCGTTAATCTCGAGAATCTGGTCTCCCTGCATGACGCGGCGGCCATGACGAGCGGCGATGCTTCCGGGTTGCTGGAAACGAGAGCGAGAGTAACAACACACGTTCAACACATGTGCCGCGCACGGCGCTTTAAAACGCCCGGAACGTGGAGCATTCGTGACACATTATCACTGCATCCCATTAGACAGTCGTTCAATGTTATGCTTCTCGGTGGCGCCGGCGGGGCGCTGTTCAGACATGGTAAGTACGTTTTTTAAGTGTGAATACACTTTATAAGCGACCCCAAACCATCCACCGCCGTCGGCGGCGTCCGCAGTCTTCTCTCTATCTTTAAAAGAAAGAGGACTTGGCGGGCCGCAGCGCGACGCTCTACCGAATAAGCCACGGACGCGACGCTGATATCGGTGTCAGTAACGCGCCTTACACCCCCCCCCCCTTCGCTCGCTCCTCCGCTCTCCTCGCTCGCTGCAGCTGCGCGCGCACCCCTCTCTCTCGCGCGCCCGCCTTCTCTCTCAGTCTCCCGTCGAGAGCGGGTCGTGAGGGGGAGTAAAGTTAAAATCCGTTGGCATTCGCCAGTGAGTTAACGTAAACTCCCCCGTGTGATCAAATTGCGATTCCCAGGAACCATTACACCATAAAGGCACCATAGTGTGATTAATAAATATAATAGTGTGAATTAATAAATAACCCTCATAGCATCACCCCGTGTATTAGCACTTAACCATGTTCACCCTCGGGGAAATGCTTGGGAGTTTTTTGTTAGTTAGGTTAAGCCCGCCGATAAAAACTTTTGCTAATTAATAAGTATTTGATTGAGACGAAATGGCCCTTACGTTTCGAATAACCCTCGTAAGCTCGTGCAGCACCTGCATATTTTACACTAACCCCGCCAGGCTTGTGAACTTTACGACATAGAAGCCTTGCTGCACGGTGCTTAAGTCATACTGCGTCATGCTGCTCGATTCGTTTTTTTTTTCTCGCCCGACAACGCTCGAAACGAAGCCTGGAGGCCGCAAACAGAAGACCTATCACGCTGCTGCCGAAATCTCCAATTTGTTACTTCGAGCACTTTTTTTACGCAATTATTGCCGCCATTAACCGCTCTGTATCGGCTATTTTTGAACAGTGTTATTTTATCGACGTGATTCCACGAGTCACTTCATGACGACCACCAGGGCGCGATGCAAGCAGCACGCAACAAGCAAGGGCGAAGCGCCTCGATCTTATCTCGCTTTCTTTCTGTCGTTTGTTCGGCGCAGCGTGCTGTACGTTGCTACTGAAACGTTACGTATCACACCATCTTACCAAGGAACGGTGCTTTCACGAGTCGCTCGCTATTGCCTCCAGGGATTTGGTTGCAGAATGAGGTAAGATTCGAGTAATACATCCCAATATATCCCCGTAACGTGTCATGGACAGAGACTGTTCGCATTAACGACTTACCCCCGTATTCTAAAACCTCCCTTGGCTGAACGCTTCGCCTTCACTTGAGAAAGTCGGTGGAAGCGCCGTCTCTAGGCACGTCAAGTCACTGCATATTAGCGATAGTCTGCTGCGATTCTTAAGTAGCGCAGCGTCATTTTCAGCCGAGTGCTGGCGCAGTGCTCAACTCTGTCAAGTGAAGAGTGGAATTCGAGCCGAGGAGCGTTTGTGAATACGGGGGTTAATTTCGTCGCCTTGTTCGCAGCGTACATAAATAGGCCATAGTGCAGTGCAACCTCGGCCCTTTCTTACTTCGCGGCCATCAGCAGACCCCGCACTGGAGATTCCGCATTTTTTGTCCAGAAACCATTTAGCGAATAATAATAATAATAATAATAATAATAATAATAATAATAATAATAATAATAATAATAATAATAATAATAATAATAATAATAATAATAATAATAATAATAATAATCAAAGATGTTCTTTAATCATCATAATGATTATTGCTCCAAAGCATTGCCTTGAAGACACGAGTTTCTGACGACGTCGACTTTGAGCGCGGAGATTTTTCGCCACAGTCCATCGGAGCCAGTAGTATATAAGCACGCACGACGAAGCACGTTTCATCTATCGCCCATCATGAATATTTATCGCGAGTATTTTCCACGCTACCGATACGGATTGCGCTGAAGTTTGGGTTAATGCTTAGAGGATGGAATTTCAATGAGGTGCACGATGATAACACTTACGATGTACGTGATGAACACTCCCCGTCCATTTCTGAAAGATGGGAAAAAAAATGTCGTGAAGTTAGGATTGTGCAATAGGATGTGCCTCCAAAAGAAGAAGACAACGTGAAACGTAAGTGAGTGGTTTCGTGCGCGTTCTCGACTGCGAATCACGTTGAGCAACCGTATTATAGACGTAGTAGCCGGCACTTTGTGATGTTCTTTCAATAACCGCTGAGCTTTCATGCGCCAAGACCACGATGTGGTTCAGAGTCACGCCGTAGCGGGGGCCTCTGTATCGGCTTTTACAACCTTGGTTTTTTTTAACGTTCGTATAAATCTTAGTACGCGGATGTTCAGTGCAAGTTCACTCTCATTGAAATTCGGCCACCGTGGCTGGGAGTCAGACCAGTGCAGTGCTGCTTAGCAGTTCGACACCTCATGTGCTAATTAAGCTACACAATGGTGGTTTCATGCAAATGTTTCAAGCTTTCGTCTTATAAGAGGTACTTTGCCGGTGGCAAAAAGCAACGAGACAAATTTTCAAGTAGCTTGGCAGTCGTAGTGTGGTAGTTAAGCTAGTATCCTGGTCAGGAAAAGAAAATTGGTACGAAGATTTGTGTGTGAGCAATCGTAGTGTGTAGCGGTTCACGGGCAACGAAGGAGAAATGGACAGGTTTGCGGTTCTTGCGAAGTAAGGTGAAGTTAGGTTAGTAAAGCTGATTATGCCGTACTCACGTTCTTTGTATGAAGCTGATTCCCAGACGGTCCTTGACGCTTCCTTTTCGCATCTCCACTGTGATGAACTTAGAAGGCTCTGTCAATAAAAAAATAAAACAATAAAGGCGACAAGTGTAACGTATACGAGCAGTGGAATGCAGCCGCAGTCGAGTCCTACTGCTATTAAGGACTATTTGTAAAGCAAAGGGTGGGGCGGGGGAGGGAGTGCTGTCAGATGTGAGGAGACCTGGCGGTAAATGTTCAGGCTGGCGATGGCTTCACATGGGCGCCTCCTTTTAAGTTTTACAGATGCGAGCGATAGCTAGAGACACACTGGTCCCTGAAATATAACTTTTTCTCTGCAGTCTGAGAATGTTGGTTTAAATGGATCAGCATATGCGCCCAAATTCTTTTGGCAATGCAGTGCATTAAAGTAATTCTGCATTTGGGAACTCTGATAATTTTTTTTTCATTTCTTTGCTGGTGCCGTAATCTCTAAAAATTTTGTTTTCCACTGTGCATTGGTAAAAACGTCAAAGAAATAAATGTGACAGGAGCGTAGCACATAGTCGCAAACTCCCTAGCTCCAGTGGAATATGAAAGGAGTATACTGGAATGGAGAGTGCATAGGCAAGATAAGCTTGCTCTATTCAGTTCGCTCTCACACATCGAGTTGTTTCTCCCAACTGAAGCCAATTAATGGCGATAGTAAGCAAACGATACCAAACTCCTAATAATTCTGAACAAGATGTGTGTAATACTACAGGAAGCTCAACAAGAAGGTCAACACACACCGTTCTGAAGATTGACCGTCCCCATAACATCGCTTAATTAGGAGAGCAGAACAACGAAGTTGATTGAGAACATAGACGCGCACGAGGGGTGCCCCCACGTCACCCATGAGAAGGGGGCACAAAATTTGCTCCCCTATACATTGACCTAATAGGGAAGGGGGCGCTGCAAAAAATCTTCGCCCCCCCCCCCCCCCATCTCCCCCGAACGGGAATCCTGCGCACGACTATAATTCAGAGCGTCAAATTTACTGACAGCCTTGCGAAAGCATATGCTAATAAAACCAACAGACTAGGGAATCTATAGGGGACCCTACCCGAATGTTTTAAGTGCGGCACAGTAATTGGGACGTAAGAAAAAAAAAGGAATACCGACTTGCCCTTGGTAGGGACCAAACACACAAACTTCAAATCACGCGTCCGATACAATTGAGCTACAGGGGCCGTAGCTCTCGCATCAACTTTGTTGGGAATTCACGTTTCGTGTAATCCTCGATGTGTCAACAAGTGGGATGACGGTGAGTGTGGAACTCTATTTTCTTGCCAGCTAGCGCCGCGTAGTGCGTGATCCTATTACGGGCTGGAAGCTGACCAATAAATCTTCGTGCACTGCCACCAAGGCATAAAGCCAGCCAGAACGAAACCCTCGCTGTGATTGAGCAGGAGAGGAAGGATTGACAGAGGATTCGTTTCTTCTGTTAGAAGCGACCTGATGAAAGTGACAGAAAGTCAAGCTAAACAATGTACAGTGGCATTACTTGTATGTTTTAACTGTATTACAGTAATCGTGGCACAAATGGAATTGAATCAAGGTGATAGTGAATGTCATAATTACGATGATAATGTCAAACCATAGGACCAGTGTCATTGGTACATTACTTAGCTTCGTTGCTTGTTGGTTTTAATGAGGCTGTGTCTAATAGAACAAGCGAACCCTTGGGCGATTCTCCCTTTTTCGTTCATGGGAGCATAGACTTTCGACAGAGCCGCACTTCGTTAATTATATCGTGTAAAAATCGATGTTAGTACACAAACTAGGTGCCAGCTAATCCTTTACTCTTGAATGGTTTGAACATACAAAAAACAATGAGTAATACAAGCATAAATTTCATAGCACACAGAAAAGTTAACAGCTTAGATCCTCTTGATCCGTGAAATTCTTTTTTCTAACATTGTGAACGCAAGACATCCTTGAGTATTGAGGTGTGGTACATTAATTGCTCAAGCTAAAGCTTTTCTCAATGCTGGAGTCATTTGTACGGAGGCGTGCGCATCCCGGATTCCGCACACGGCGTCGCCCAAGGCGATTGCCGCTCTCTATTCCTTGGGTATGAGTGGTGAAGACTCACTCTCGGTGGTGGTGAAGAGCGTCTGCGGGTTCTCCCGGAGCACCATCAGTCTCACCGGTGACGGTGCCTCTCTTAGGGCCCGCACGGCGTCCGTAGAGCACACGTCTCGCAGGGAGAGTTCGTTCACCTGCACAGTCATCGCGTCACAGTTGTCGGTTGACACTGCGTTGCGTTTCATTATCAAACGGCATCGAGCGCTGGTGAAGTGGAGACTCTTCAAACTTTCCACTCCTCGGCAGGTCGGTGGCATGATTACATGATGCTTTATTGGAGTCCTGTACTACCGGGTAGACTGAGGCTCAGTTTAGTGCAGTGGTCGAAATTTCCGGAGCCCTCCACTACGGCGTCTCTCATAATCATATGGTGGTTTTGGGACGTTAAACCCCACAAATCAATCAAATCATCAGTTTAGTGCCACCCTTAACCTCCCGTTTCTCGCCTAAATTTCTCGTTTAATTGCGCACATGCTGGGAAGTAGGCTATAATGTATTGTAACCGAATGTGCCAATGCATAGCTAAGTACGTTAGAGCTACTCATCTCCCTTTAAGATACACACAGACTGCATGTTTAAAGAGCACACGAAATCCTAATACTTTTTTGGGGGAGGGGGAAGGGGTTGGGGGGACAAAGGAAAAAAGTGGAAATCTGAGAGTTCATTTTTCCATGTTAGACACAACATTATTGTCTGTTAGTTTTCATTCACACGATTAGGAAGCGCGCATTACTGGGAGAACGCGAATTAATTTAGACCAGTGGGGGAATCTTTAACGGGCTCCTAGAATCTCGTGCACCCACGTTTGGCCCCTTCGAAATGCGGTCGTCGTTGCTGGGCATCGAACCCAAGTGCTCGAGCCTCTAGCGAGCCACCGTGTGTCAAGTTAGCTGCCTTGTCGCGTAACGCGACGTCTACAACTAGAATACTAAGACGTCCACAAAAGAAACAAAATCATAAACGTTCATCAAACGAACGCGTTGAAGTTAACGTACATATTCAATGAAAAAAAAAAAACTCTGCTTATGCGCAAAAAATGGGAGCGTGTTTTTTTACGTTGGTGGACGCTTCGAGCACAAAGAACGAATATAATTTACAAATTTTCATTTCATTTTACTTGTTGTTCTAGGGTCAAACAGGAATGTTACATCATGGATGGGCAGGGGAAAAAAAAAGAAAGCAGCAGTTCATGTGCACAGCTAATATGAACAGTAACATGACTGTTTAAAACCATGTTAAATAGACTGACATTAGTTAACATGGCGATGTGGGTGGGAAGGTTGTTCTAATCTTGTGCCGTTTAAAGAAAAGAAAAAAAAAGACCTCGGGAAAGTTTGAGTCGTTTAAGAGTGAATGAGCATGGTTAATGTTTCATTGGTGAATAAAACGTCGCTCGTAGAAACAAACACTTAGGGCCACATTTGACCAGACAAGAATAATTCGGCAAAATATTTATCTACATTGGCTTAAATATAACGAGAGGAGCCGCTGTGGAATGTAAGGGCTCCTACTAGAAGAGGTACAACGCAGTGGCGTTTCCACAATTCGCTTTAATTCCAACGTAAAAGAAAAAAAAGGTTCAATTATTCATTCGCCGCTTGCTTGGATCTTTGTCGGCTCCCTTTTCGAGTCGCTGGCTTTTACGCGCGAATTTTATGACAATTACTTGCAGCAGTTTCACAATGCTGCAGTTTGCAATAACTTCGCAACACAAAAGAGTGCAGGAAGCCCGGTCGTCAGTCCTCTCGTTTTCCCAAACTTTTACGAGTTTTCATTGAGTGGGATGAAGAAAAATTGAGAAACAGTCGTCGTAATTCACGTTACGAAGGCAGATAAATTGATGGCTGCTTCTGTTGGGGCGACAGCAAACGCGACGAATAGTAAATTTGCTTTCTGTTAATTTTTTAAAAAACCTTATTCGAGCTCATACTTTCGCTGTGGATCTTTGAGTTTAAACAACGCGACTCGGGAACGTAGAAGTGTAGGCACTGGCTCTCGAGCAATGCCAGTGCTGGTAATAGGCTTTGATGTTATCCTGCTGTTTTTTTTAAAGTTACTTGCGGATGCTGGCATAAAACAAATAGACAAAAATAAATGCTTTTTGTTATACTTGTGGTGAAAGGTTCGAAAGAAGCAAGTCACCCCACTGCGTTCAGGAAGAGAATCCCGCTCGTCAAAAAGACGTGGAGCATCGTGCGTAGTTTGAGATATCGAGGAGTAATGGCCAGGTGGCGTACTTACCAAGTAAGTATCACTTCCTCCCGTGATACTTATTCCAAGCTCGTTCCGCTCTTTCCTGAGCACTATCGTGGTTTCCACGAAGTCCTGCACAGTGCTGAGGGCAGCTGCAATAGGGGATAAAAAGAAAGCAAGGACGTTACAGCACAGGCTCGTTCTTCACTCTGCACTGCCGATATGTTGTTGCGACGGTTCCTTAAGAAACAGAAAAAGAAACTTGGTGTGCTGATTAACTATCCTCGTACGGTCACCTCTGACCACGGTTCGCTCTTGAGGAGTAAAATACAAGACTAACAATTTGCGCCTCCTACTATACGTCTTAAACATGCAATGGCGGAGGCAATGCCTCCAGTGGTAGAATTAAACCGCGAAAAAACTGCAAAATTTCATCGGATACTAGTCATAATACGTAGACAATAATAACAGTTATAACTGCTGGAAGGCCCGTTGTCAGGGAAGGAGGGGTGCCACAGGCGCCATTGTCCCTGAAATTCGGTTAGAAGGGGGTGTTTTACAGAGAACAAATAATGAAATTAGGTGTTTTTCTGGACTACTAACGAGTGGGCCCCATCCTGAAAAAATAGTTTTGGCTCCGGGTTGATTTTTTTTTATTTTCTTGATTTTTCGGGTTTTACGTACCAAGACCATGATACGAGAGACGCCGTAGTGGAGAGCTCCGGAGATTACGATCACCTGGGATTCGTTAGCGTGCTCACAATTCTAAGCGTACGGTCCTCCCGCACTTTGGCTCCGTTGAAGTGCGGTTAACGCGGCCGGGATTTGATCTCGTGACCTTTTTGTCAGCAGTCAAGCACGACGAAAGCAGCAGGTCACTCCATCGCGTTCTACTAGACTGCTGCAATACGTAATCAAAGGCTCAGGAATGAGGAGATTTGCAATTGTAGGAAGTGGTAAGAAGTTTGAATTATCTTTTTTTTTTGTAGAACGAGGCGGAACAACTGCAGAAGGAAACTAAACTATACTATTCCTTGTAATATGAAGAAAAAAATAAAGGGAGGCCATGGGGACGTACCGTAAGCAGTCTGGGATGTAGGCTTACCCATGAACTCCCAGTGACCCACAACTCCTGAGCGAATGACAAGTTTTGGCATCATTAGCACGCCCAATTGGCGATGCGGTTAGGTTACCTGTGATTGACAGAAGACGAGTGTCCTTTCTACGTCTGTTCTAGCTTCCTTAGGGCATGCGCTGTTGAGTTCCGCGGTAAACGACATACCCCATTTCACCACAGTTATATATTAAGCATAAGTTACGCACTGCTAAATCATTGCCAGCACAAGTTTGCAATGTAAACACATTGATTGGCTTTCAATATACAAGTTTTTTTTAATGCAAGTTGGTATTTCCTTTCACATAGAAACGAGTGCTCGAAATCCTTCAACACATGGCCACCATCACCGTTGCCCTACGTATGCAAGTCCAGTGACGTGTACTGGCCGGTTAACCTAGTTAACGGCATTTCGCAAGTTTATACTTAGCGCACACATATATTGACTGGGACTTTGACCAAGAATATGTCACCGTGAGATCTATCGAAACAGGAGTAGTGTATTTCGATAATGCACATGATTTTCACATAAAAGCACTCTGCCTTCCCCACCCACTTCCGCCCATTAACACACAGCGCCCTGTGTCAACCAATCAGGTTGTAGCGTTGGTCATAGGAACGTTCCTAGCCCCGCCGCGGTGGTCTAGTGGCTAAGGTACTCGGCTGCTGATCCGCAGGTCCAGGTTCGATTCCCGGCTGCGGCGGCTGCATTTCCGATGGAGGCGGAAATGTTGTAGGCCTGTGTACTCAGATTTGGGTGCCTGTTAAAGAACCCCAGGTGGTCAAAATTTCCGGAGCCCTCCACTACGGCGTCTCTCATAATCAAATGGTGGTTTTGGGACGTTAAACCCCACAAATCAATCAGGAACGTTCCTAGAAGAACAATAGCAATGAAAAACTAAAGCACTGCACTATCGGGTAATGTTACACTGAGAACACTCGTCCGACGTGGCGTGTCTTACAGGAGCGTCGTTGTCGGCTGTAAACACCTCCGAGCATGTCGGCATCGTCGACGCATCGTAGTCACTGCGCATCGTTCGCTTCCGGCAGCCGAGACGGCAAACAGGGCGGCGCACGTGAACGGCCCTGCAATCTAGGACGGCAAACAAGCGGGTGACGTAGGTGGCCGAAATTTGCCAAACACAGGCCCCCGCGCACGACGGCGCCAATGTTTGCCGAACGGCCGGCAGTGGCGGGTATCGAAGATTAAGCTACGGACGAGGCATGCGAAGAGAGCGTTCGAAATAGTTCGAACGGTGTACGCCTCGTCTGGCACTTTCTCACGCCTCGAAGAAAATGCGCTAAGTTTGGGTCCTGCGCTTGTGGAGCCGGGGGAAGCACAGCTTGCGCCGTTCTCACAGACGAGGCGGTGATGTGCGCGTGTGTTCGGAGAGGGACAGTAAACTCGGATGCTTTTACGCTTTTCTCGATAGCCAGAGTTTGTTCTACAACCATCGAAGAACACGAAATAGAGGTACTTCAGCGGGCTTACCGTTTTTCTCGGTCTTGCGTAATCGCACTGATAACACAGACACGAGCCGATGAATGGTTTAGTGCATAGGCGTGCGGACAAGGGGAGAAGAGGGGCGCCCCTTCCTCTCTTCCCACTTTGTCCGCACGCATATTGTCTAAAGCGTTTATCATCGACTCGTGTCTGTGTTATCAGTGCGATTACACAAGGCCGAGAAAAGCTGTAAGCCTGCTGAAGTACCTCTATTTCACGTGCACCGATGAAGGAGGGGGGGGGGCGCAAAGTCGGCTCTATATATTGACGTTATAGGCAGGGGGGCGCTACAACGAATCTGTGCCCCTCCCCCCACTTCTGAATTAGAGCCCCGCGTATGCCTATGCTTTAGTGCAACATCTATAACATTTCATCAAAAGAAATTTGCTTCATGCAAGAAACTTGAGTCTTAGCGCGCTCTGATTCAGCATGTTGTTCTTTATCTCGCGTCATGCATCCACGGCTCTACACGCGTGTATGTACGCACGATAAGACTTCCTGAAGTGATGATTGATATGTGGGGTTTAACATCCCAAAACCACCACATGAGTATGAGAGATGTCGTAGTGGAGGGCTCCGGAAATTTCGACCACCTGGGGTTCTTTAACGTGCACCCAAATCTGAGCACATGGGCCTACGACATTTCCGCCTTCATCGGAAGTGCAGCCGCCGCAGCTGGGATTCGATCCCGCGACCTGCGGGTCGGAAGCCGAATACCTCAGCCACTAGACCACCGCGGCGGGGCAACTTGCTCAAGTGAACATTCGTTAGTTAGTGCTGCGTGTCGTGGTATGCCCAGTCCGTTCGAGTCCATTACGGTGCGATTACTCAAGACAATACTTAAGCAATTGTTCCCTCTTTGTGTTCGCCTCGCTGCTTTCTTGGTTATAAAAAAAGTAAACAGAACTTTCAGAGCTGACAACTTGGATTAATGTCAGTGCTATTCCAGTTTATTGATATAATATCGAGATGATCCTGAGCCGATCCCGCAGATATGTTCTTGAGGAATACAACGAGTTAGCGCTAACTCTTACAACACGTATAGTTGCTGCACGTTTATTTTTTCGTTTATGAAAAACTAGGCTCAAGGAATGACCTTTTTGGATCTCCAATATAGTGCGACATGATAAACGTTCATAAGTGAATATCCTTCATTGTACTTTTGAGAATGGTAGATGGTGTTGCGTCAGCGTAGAACGCAGGTTGGCATTAAGAAGAGGACGCTATGGTACGGCTCTCGCCAAATTAAACGGCTCGAGGTCAAAACGAAAACAAAGGATGACATATAAACAAAAATATTGAAGCTATCCGAAGTTCCTAATTGTGTGTTTAAATTGATGAAAAGAAATGCTGATCGTTTGCACAGCAAAACAATATGAGAAATCATAAAAACTCATTTATCTCTCTTCCCATTTACTGTAGGGTAGCACACCAGTTTTTTAGATTGGTTTAGAGCCTTGCCTTTTTTCTTTCTCCCATTCCTTTTTTTATTGATGTGACGTAAAGAGATGTTAACGCACCAATTGGGCACCGGCAACTCCTTATCACTTAAAGATGTCTAATAACAAAGTCCACCAAGTTTCTAAGTCTCCAAGCGTAGCAAGTCGACAGCACATACAATATACAATTTATACTAACAGTTTTAGCATAAGCAGCGTACTCAGCAGTCACATAGGCGTTCATATATGGTGATGTTAACACATTGAACAGACCCACTGTGAACAATAGAAGTCACATAACAGTTAACATGACAGTCACATACTCAACACAACAGTTCATGGTCCCATAATTCCATCGTTTGAAGTTCTCGATCGCATTCAGAGGAATATGACGCCAAAGTACCCTAAGTTGCGTTAAGTATAAAAAAACTAAAAAAAGAAAGTGCGAGGACCACCGAGAGATTCCTTTCTAATGACAAATCTCGTTTTCCAAGAAAGGTCCGCGCAAATAGAAACAACCGGGTTTTAGGGGCAGTGGTGTGCTTTTGGCGTTCGGGCCGTTTCTAGTGATGCGCCTCAGCGAAGAGAATAATGTTCGTTTAGGTGTCCAGTAAAGCTAACTAAATAAAAAAGAAAAAGAAAAAGAGGGATATACAAAGGACCACGTCGTGGTCGTTGCAGCAGAAGTACGGCCAAGTTCTGAAGTCGTTGTGCATGTTCCGACCTCAATGTCTCGGAAAACAATATCTCGCGGTGGGGAGAAACGATTTGAGAAAACGCATTATTGAATGGCGCTCGGCGAACGGCCATTCTACGAAAGAAAGCGCGTTTTGTAATCATTATTCCCCTCATCTAGTTTCTTACGGGAAAGAAGCGTTTGCTGCAAGCAGTATCGGATCTAGGACATCACATTTCAACAATGATCGACAATTCGTAAGTGCCCTGGCTAGCATGGGTTACATCAAGAACGAATGCAATGTTTTGAGTTGTCTTGTAAAGCGTGCTTTGCTGTGAAGCATTTATTTACAAGGAGAAGACGTCTTAACGTTACGTCGGAACGATATTAACAATGTAACCGAATGCCGGACGAAAGGAGGAAGGTAAAGAGGTAAAAAGAGTGACGGAAGAAATTGGTGAATTCGCAACCGACCTAAATTGTACAAAAGAAAGAGTGAGACAAAGAGAGCTAATTGCATTGGTGTTTGGTGATTCACATCATTAGTACGGTCGCTTTTTGCAGTGGGACTCGGAACAAAAGCTAGTCGAAGATCGAAACTCTTTTTTTTATTTCATGCCAGTGCATATTGACTTCAGTTTTAACCCTCAGAAAAAGAATAAAAAGAAAATGTTGCGTAATTTTCAACGATGAGCTGTTGCACCGCACGATGATTTGGGTAAAGTTAGGTATGAGCACAATTCTAATAATATGTTATTATGTTAGGTCGTTACATGATCGGATAGCAAAGACTTGCACACAGAAGCCAACATCAGTTAATTGTGGTCAAGGCTATACTCGCGGAGAACTTTTCTCGGCAGTGAAGGGAAAGCTACTGGGGCGAAGCTCCTGCGCATGTATTCCTACGCCAAGTAGTCCGGTTTGGCATGCGTCTCTTACCGCTATGGAAAGTCTCGTACCGCTATGGAAAGCTTCGCGCAATCAGCGTTTCATTTCGAAGTACACGCCAATCAGCGTTTGAGGTAAGAGAAAAAGGCGCGACTTTCTAACGCTTGTAAAAACGCAAAGTGACGACGAGAAAACTGAAGGAAATGCAAATATCTCTCTATAGTGTGTGCAGCAGGGTGTCTAAAAGAGCTACATGTAGGAAATGAAGGCACATTTCAAATAGCCAACGCCGCAAAAACCGACTCAGGCGTGGCACTACATTCATTAGTTGTGAAATACGTGTGATTTGGCTATGTAGTCTTCACTTCATTGCAAATAAAAATTGTCCGCGAGTACAGTCGTCACTTAGCCAATAAACAATTAACCAGCGTTAACTAGTGCTGGCATTCGAGTGGGTCCGGTACGCTTTATTAAGCAGACTTTTGACAAATTCATTAATAATATTTAGTTTTCCTGTGTACATTTTGCCTTGTGTAGGACGTCAGTATTAGATGATAGTTTCTATGCCGTACTTTATATCATTACAATAAAAAATACACCCGTAAATGCGTTCTTTTTTATGGGTAACACATTTATTTTAATATCTGCAAAAAATTTGTTGCACACCACAGCGTTCATGATGGTCAGCCCGAACAAGGCATAGAAGGCAATAATTAAAGTACACTTGAGAGGCACCGAACACTTGTTTTGTGGGTATGTTGCAACTACTTCAATTCACTACATCACCTCTACAGCGCGTTTAACGACATACACAATGAGAAAATACGTCGTTGAAAACTTATCAGTGATTTAGACCATTCGATGTGCATGTAAACAAACTGATGCGACGATTGGGCAGTGAGCTCTAAACGTTCCTCGCAGTATTTTGTAACCTGCTGGCAGAAATTAATCTTACGTGGTGCAGTAAGTAGATAAACAAGAAACTTGCATTCGTGACTACCCACGATTCAATCTTACTTCTTAAACCTGACGGTGCTAGGCACGCGACAACTGGGAACCCCTTGAACACCAGTTACAATGTTTGTTCTCTAGCACAATCTTTCATATTGAAATCGGAGAGCGTACTTTTAATGTTGTCCGCAAATAAGTCGCAAGGAATCCCAGATAATATTTACTTTATTCCAGATAAAGCCAGTTGCACGCAGTGGAACCTATCGACAAAGCGAAGCGCTATAAAGTCATCTCGTACTGCTACTCGCTACGGGTGCTTTTTTCCCCACAGCCGTACGAGAGATTTTGCCCAGCTTCCGAAAGGGCAGGACTTTGACCTTTCTGATGCTGGGCATAAGAGTGGTGAACAATAAGCCACCGCTCTTATGCCTGTAGCATGTCTCCACAAGGCCCCTAATGCTTGCACATTGAGTGGCCTTACAGAACCTCTGGTCAACTTCTCCGAAAAATACCGCTTCATACGATTGATGAATGGATGGTTGGATATGGCTGTACCCTTTAGATCAGGCGGTGGCTAGCGCCACCAAGCCGTAATACTTAATGAACCAAAAACTAGATTTATTTTTTTTCTTTAAAAAGTGAGTTTGAGGATTCGTACTTTGCAGTGAAGAGTTCAATTTTCACTCGTGCCTTGACTTTAGCCACCAATCAGATAACCTCCTTCTAGTTAAGTCTACCCGCTTAAAGTCTATTTTGCCCTCCAGGTCCCTAAACCCCAGTGCTTTGAAAAACTCTGCGCAATCATCCTGAACTATAGGGTGAAGCCCTTTACAGAACATTATCAAGTGTTCGGCAGTTTCTTCTTCCTCTCCACACGCACTGCATACTGTGTCTACCCCTTCGTATTTGGCCCGATATGTCTTGGTTCGCAGTACTCCCGCCCTGGCCTCAAACAGTAGAGAACTACCCCGAGCATTATCATAGATCCTTTCCTTGGCAATTTCCTGCTTAAAAGTTCGATAGATCTCTAGGACGGACTTCTTAATCATGCCCATTCTCCACATATCAGTCTCCGTTTCCTTCACTTTCTTCTTAACCGATAGTTCTTTTTGGTTTGGCTACCTGCTGTTTTCTAAGTATTTACCAGTCAATTTCCTGGTTCGCTTCCTCCATTTTGTATCGACATTCTTCATGTACAAGTAGCTGAAAACCTTCCTAGCCCAACGCTCCTCCCCCATTTCTCTCAATCGCTCCTCAAACTTTATCCGCGCCCAAACCAGTCGCGCCATCTGTTGGTGTATCTGAAAACCGGAAAGTCACACACGGACACTCATCATGTCATCAGGCCTGCAGCCAGAGAGAGAGAGAGAGAGAGAGAGAGAGAGAGAGAGAGAGAGAAATAACACTTATTTATGCATCCGGCGTGTAGGAAGTCTCCGGCCTCGCAAGGCGCGGATGTTCCCTATCTTAAGATTACGGCTATTAGAGTCCGATAATCTCAGAGCCTAGACCTCGAGAATGTTGTGCTTCGACTAGGCGACAGTTACTCGGGTGACTCCGCGCCCGTTAGACGGGTCGTCGGCTCCTTTTCTCCGTTGCTTCACCAAAGCCTCCTCAAGTCGCTGTATTGCAGCCCTAGAGCATAAATGCTTCGCAGTAATATTAAGGGGGGAAAAGAAGAGTCAAGGACACATACCCCTGGGTAAGACCGCGTGCCGCGGTGAGAGCCGGTTTTGGTCGCACGGTGGCGTCGAGTCGATGTACAGCTGGACGGCGTCGAAGAGGGCGTCAGCGTCGGCAATCTTGTAGTTCTCCTTGTTCGTCATGCTGACGCGCACCAGGCGCACAAGGCTGCGCCATATCCATAAGAAATAGGTTACAAAAAAAATAAAAAGCAAAAAATTGTAGCTTAGCCCTTAGTCCATAGTCATATACAGAGTGTTTCAGCTAACTTGCTCCAAGCATATTTTTTAAATGTTTCGCACACTCCTAATAAAACCTGCAAAAATTTAAACAAGGTGCTTATTTCAGAATAGATGCAGTAAGAAGACGTTGATAAGCAAGTGTTACTTTTTGTACTGAATATTTATCGTTAGAGTTATCGTTCTAAAGGTGAATGAAGCATTCTGTCTTAATTACTCAGCTTGACCGACTGAAAGAACTATCCTGACGTGCCGCACACCGCTCAGAACAATACTAGGCCAATTCTGCACTCGTAGCACATGTGTTTGTTCTTTTATTACTAGAGACAAGGTAGTTCAAACACCCTATTAAGTTGCCTTCAACGACATTGAAAACTGAAACTAGCCAGCGCTGGACAACACCCACCAATATTAAGTCAAAATTGGCCAGAAGTTTTAGTAATAACGTGAACGAACATTGCTGGCCTGCCACGAACAGCTGGCTGGCTTTACATGAATTCACAGACCATATTGCAATGTTCTCTCGGAACGCTAACGCATTAAAAGAAGAAAAGATTACGTGGCTCTGCTGTCGTAAACACCAAAGACAAGTGGAGCTTGTGCAATCCCAGTAAAGTAGTACCAAACTACACAGTGTCTCGATTCGAAGTCTGCACAACCCTTGTCAAGAGATCTAGAATTTAGAAAGTTCCTTGGATATTTTTACCTTTCGACACCTCGTCAAGCGCCTTCTGACACATATTAATAATAGCGTCAAGGGAACGTTGTTTTAGCTTAGCAAGCTTTGCAGCTAAAGACTTGTGTGCATCAACCTCCCTATAGAAAGTGTAACCTTCATCTTGAATGATCAAGTAAGACTCTTCGGCTTTCGGTATTCTCACGAGCGTGGTATTCTGACTGCACCATAGTTGTGGCTCCCAAACACCAAAGCACTGCATGGCGAGCTGCATCTGGTCATTCAAGTATTCAATCTGCGGTGCAATTGCAATTGAATTTTTCTTTACTGATTAAAATTGTTCAGAGACAACCATGAGCGCGGCGTTCATAACGCCAGCATTTGGCTTGGCTAGGCTACTTTTTTTGGCTTGGCTCGACCACTTTTTTTTTTCATTTTCAGTGAACCAGAGGTGACAAGCGGAGGTTGTCCAATTTCTGTGGCCTATACTATCTAGGCGAAGTTACGTATGACATGAGAAACGCTGCGAGGTTCTGACAGCACCTCCGTAATAGCGTATGGCGAACTATGACAAGGCATCAAAGAGCGGCGTGCGTCCAGCTGCCAAACTCCGGGAAGCATGAGCTCGTGGCCGTTGGCGGGCTTATTTGCTTCGTCATCGTCTTCTGTTTGCAACAATACGCGTTAAGTATATAATTTTCAGTGCAATAGGGCACTTCAGCATTAGCAACAACAATTAGTGGCGTGGCCATATTAAGGACACTTGAAGCGAGTTGCGTTACCATAATTCTGAGCGATCTCAGCACGACAAGGGAGGTTCCGTCGATGCTGGCGCCGTGGTCCCGCCTCGGGTTCCCGAATAGTCAGGTTCCGCCCGGTAGCGTGTTGTATCAGCACCTGTCGAAAACGCATGCACAAAGGTGTTACGAAGGAGGCAACTTCGCGTCGTACAGTTCAAACATATAGGCCCGGACAGTTCAATAAAAAGAGTTCTCAATTCGGCTGGTTAGATAGATAGAAACGCTCGGAGCACTGGGTTCGCTCAGAAATGCTCCGCATTTAAGACGGTAAATATGATTTCTAATAATTAATAGCGGGATTCTTAATGAATATAAACAGGATAAAAGAAAGGACTATTAACTCTTCATAGTTAACTTGAATTTAGTGTATAGGTTAGTATCTACGTTTTAGCACTACGCCCTGCATGCTCTACCAAATGAAAAATTATTTATTAAATTATACTAAAAGCCACTGCATTACAAATGCTATTCCTAACTGTGCTCACTGTTCTGGAGCAATTAGACTTTCGAATCCGGAAATTCGTTTTCGTCGTGTGAAGGTACGCAGCAGGTGGACCCATGGAGCCCACGTACTCACACACGCAGAAAAAACAAAAAAAAAAGAAAAACAGAAAAAAAACGTCCCGGTATATGACAGATGAGCAAGAGAGAAGAGCTGGCTTGTGTGTTCGTGCTTCGGAACCTCCTGAGCTGTTGACTCAGTCGTCTCTGCGCGCTACTCTAACCAAAGGTAGAGACGAGCCCTTCGGCTTCGCAGGTTTCCTTTCACCGACGTACGATATGGCTGCCGGAACTTGGTGCCCCGGGGACATTGCATTAGCTGCTTCCGGGACAGCGCCAATTACGGTTCGGTTGTCATGGCTGTACAACCGGCTAATTGATATCCAGAAGGAAGCCCGGTTGTTTCTTCGACATTGCTTGCTTTGGGCGTGTTGCCCTTTCGGTCGAGGATCCGGGCGGGTAGTACATTATGTGAATAGGCCATTTGTTTGGTGCACAAGGCTTATATCTTCCTCCCGTCAAGCTGGCGCAAAAAGTAGCAGCTTCAACAACAACAACAACAACAACAACAACAACAACAACAACAACAACAACAACAACAACAACAACAACAACAACAACAACAACAACAACAACAACAACAACAACAACAACAACAACAACAACAACAACAATAATAATAATAATAATAATAATAATAATAATAATAATAATAATAATAATAATAATAATAATAATAATAATAATAATAATAATAATAATAATAATAATAATAATAATAATAATAATAATAAAGAAAACAATTATAGCAGCTTTGAGCTGGTGGCGCAGAGCCTGAAAGAAGAGCGGAGTTGGGCTGCCTTCCTTGTCCACGATGATTATGATGACTTCCTATAGGCATGGCTCACACCCACTGTGGAGGACTGCCCAAGAAACGAATTATTTATAAGGAATAGTAATCAGATAAGAACTGTATGAGTAATGAATTATAAAATAGTTGTGATATATTGATGGTGCAATTAAGATACTGGAGATCTAAACCACCCTGACCCTTTTAAAACAAGTTTTCCACCGCGGAACAGAAATCGCGGCGGCAATGACCTAAAAAGGAGGCGCCCAAGAACAAAAAATCTGAAATAACAAAGGAGGCGCCCAAGAACAAAACATCTGAAATAACAAAATTCAATCTAATTTAATCAAATTCAATTAAACACCGCCTTTCGAATGTTTCTACTGAGCAAACTGAAGTGGCTGCGTCATAGTAAATAATGCTCGATTGTTTCGTCCTTGTTACAAGTCGAGTAAAGAGGAGAAGAGGAGCCTGACCCGCTTCATGCACACATAGTTTAATTTCGGAACGTTACAGTATAATTTCGTAAAACTAACTTCCTTTTTTGTGTTCACAGCAATTACTGCACCAGGAAATCTGGAGTTGACAATACTGATTTAGATGAATGAATAATATTTTTCGGTGTCCTGAATTATGGCATGCCTTCTAAACCTGTCACGAATTATGAGGGCTGATGCCAGAATAACTGAGAATTTCGGAACACTGAGAGCGGATTTTTACTCTTTGTGACCCGGTACCCAGATTATTCTTATAAGAGTTAGGTGGGTGGGGACCAGAATATGAAAAGTACGTGATAACCGAGAATCACTATTCGTAACAAGCGCTGACCACAAAGATAAATAATTTGTAACCATAGCCACACTTGAGGTTGGTGATCTGAGCCTGCTTAATTCCGTGATCACCGCAAGAAATGCTGCTGAAAATACTGATAAGAAATCGGGACAGTATTAATGGGAATGACCCCTATTTGAGGTCTCGGAGAACATACCAATGACGGATTTTTCTTCAGATTGTGAGGCGTCTGTAGCTATGATATTTATTATATTTGTTCCTTCTAAACGTTCCTCTTTATTTTTGTTTCTTTCTTCCTTGATATCTTTCTTTCTTTTTCTCTCTACGTCTCGCATTTATTTATTTTGTAGGTTCTTATTTATTGATTTCTCTTATCTGTTCCACTACTTTTCTTGTTCTTCCATTATCTCTCTCTTGCCTTCCTTCATCGGCTTCTCTGTCTATCGCTTTCTTCTTCCATTCTCTCTCATCCTTTTTCTATGTCTCTCTCATTTCTGTCTTTCTTTCTCTTTTTTTTTCTTGTGTCTTGCCGTCTGCTTTTGCTATCTTTTTTGGTGTCTATTTTTCAAATCTCTCAGTCAATGTCTTTTTTTAATTTCTGCAACTATATGCTTTTATTCTTTTTCTTCATCTCTATTTTCTCTTTGTCTTTCTTTCTATCGCTTTATTCTTTTTCACATGTTTCACATAATCCACATACCTGTGGCACATACAGAATATGCAGCCGTATGCGAAAGACTCACCGACACAAGCCACTTTCAACGTTATCGATTACGTTGTAGTAATACGCAGTTTAAACGACTCAGATAACATCACTTAGTAAAAGGTTTCATCTAAGTGATTGAAGTACACACTAGGAACATGATCTCGCTATCGCGTTGGACACTAAAGAGCAAAACAGTTTTTAGCGTATTAGTAAAGTACAATTTCACAATCCCCCCCCCCCCCCCCCCCCCCCGAAAAAAAACCCTTGCCGTGACGTAACGCTCGCTAAGCGCGAAAACGCGCGAACAGAACATCAGGTTGGGGATGCCACTGTGAGATTCCCGCACCAAACACAACGACGCAGTAAAATTCTAAGGCGTCTACTTGGTCCTAGATATAGCTTCGACTTGAAAAAGGTTAAGTAAATTGTCAACTGTGGGTGCCATAGACCTAGAATACTAAGTTTCGGCAAATTTTATTGACCCAATGACGCGAAAATACGGAAAATACATTTTAAAATTTGTTACGTGGCGCGCGGAGATCTTGGCGCGAAATTTAAAAATGAGACTTCAAGCTTCAT